GCTTCCGACCACCCTGCCACCACTGCCAACCAGCCCGCCCAACCACACCGGACACCATCACCTGTAATTGCACCGCGAACTGCAGCGAAGGGTAACCAACAGCAGCCACAGCTCCCCCCCCAGAGATCACCCGAAGCCCTCGCCAAGGACGACACGCTTTTCGCAAGCGTCAGTGACAGGAATCTGGACATGCTACGCGGCAGTCGCAAGCACCACTGGCACGTCGCCTTCCGGAAAAACTGCGCCTTCTTTTCGCAATGGTAATGCTGACACCACTGCTACGACTCGCACGCGACCCTGGATCCATTCGAGCCTGGACGGTTCTGCTGTTTGCCGCTCGCCTGACGCTGCGTCAGCATTCGCCGAGATACCCTGACTGGAAGGCGACCAGGAGCCGATTGCGTAAATTCCTGCGAGGGGAGTGGGAATCGCTGAACCAGGAAACGGTGGATTCGTTGGATATTCCTCCCCCCCCCCAGACACCAGCCAGATGACCTGGGGGTAATCTCCAGAGCTGAAGGACTGGCGCGACGTGGCAGTTTGCGGAGAGCAGTCATGGCACTGGAGGCCACTCCAGTCAGCAAGCCATCCCCTGCCGTTCTGGAAGCCCTCCGCGCCAAACACCCAAGCGCCTCGCACCCTGACACACCGTGGCCCCAGCCTGAACAGGATTCTTACCTGTCAGTATCGCGCGAAGTTTTCCTGAAGCTTCTCTCGAGATGTGAGAAGGGGTAGGCGCAAGCCCCTCAGGCACGTCGTTTGAGCACCTGAGCGAAGCTGCCCTGATGCACGCCACGGTTAGTTCTCACTTACACGCATTAGTCAACACAATCCTGCGTGGGAAGTTGCACCAGGAAGTAGGGAAGCTTCTTACAGCATCGCGTCTGATAGCCCTCGACAAGCCGGACGGAGGGACCAGGCCGATTGCCATAGGCGAGTGCTTCCTCCAATTAGCAGCCAAAGCGGCGCTTACCCAGCTAGCAGAAGGCGCACGAGAGTTTTTCTTACCTTTACAGTTTGGAGTGGCCGTGCCAGGAGGAGCAGAAGCAGTCATACATGTCGTTCAAACTTTCACCGCGGCCAACCAGGACGCACTGGTCTTGCAGGCTGACTTGGCTAACGCGTTCAATAGCGTTGACCGCCACGCCATAGCAACGGCCCTGAAAGGCTCACAGCTAGAACCACTGCTGCCATTGGTACGCTTCTCCTACGGCCAACCTTCCACACTGCACCTGGACGCAGCCTTTGACCACCCGCCCTTGCACAGTGAAACCGGGGTCCGCCAGGGGGATCCCCTCGGCCCCCTACTTTTTGCCGCTGCCATGCACCCAGCTTTGAAGGCAGCTGCGGAGGCACACCCAGAGGTCATCTGCCTGGCCTACGCGGATGACGTCACCTTCCTAGGAGAGCCGTCGTCGTGCGCAGCTGCTTTTGACCACTTCACGGGCCGCCTGGCAGAAATCGGGCTCAGCCACAATCTTGCCAAGTGCGGGGCATGGTCAGGCAGGACGCCCATGGATTGTCGCCTACCTGAAGGAGTTCCACCCAGCAGCGACGGTTTGAAAGTGCTGGGCAGCTACATCAGCACCCCCACGGCAACCTCCGCCTTCGTACGGTCCAGCCTAGAGGCGATGGGTGCGCCGCTGGGGTTGATTGAGCGGATGGAGCCGCAGCTAGCGGGACTGCTGCTGTCTCGGTGCATCTCTCGCCGAGTGTCTTACCTAGCCCGCACGACTCCACTGCCGTTCCTGCCCAAGGAGGAGTGGTCTGACTGGGGACGGTGGCTGCTGGAAACACTCCTAACAGCGTGTGGCATTAACCACCTGCGCGGAGACGCGGAAACATCACGCACGTGGGCGCAGGCCTCACTCCCCGTGTCGCTCGGTGGCCTCGGGCTGACAGACCCTTCTGTGGAAGGATGCTACAGCTTCCTCGCCAGCTACACGCAGGCGCAGCTCCTGCTTGACTCAATGGACAGCGAGTGCACCGGCCCATTGGAGGTTACCCGCGAGCTGATGCGCGGCCCTTACACTCAGACCTCCCCTTTGACTGAATGGCTAGCGGAATGCGAGGAGGATCTTCCACTGCCAGCCCAAGAAGTTCTGCAAGCAGACAGAACAGCTCCAACTGCAGGAAAGCTGCAGCATGGGCTGGCCACGGCTATTCAGGGCCAGCGCTATGCTGTGCAGGTGGAGGAGGTGCGGGGGTTGGGCCCGAGCCCCAAGGTCACACGCAGCGGATGTTGTCCCTGTCAGGGTACGGGGCGGGAGATTGGTTAAGTGCTGTGCCTCTCTTCTCCTCGCTACGCCTTGAGGCTTTCAACTATGCCAACGCGCTCCAGTTTCGGCTGGGGCTCCCCTTTGCAACTCCCAGGGTTTGCAACTGCTCGAAGAAAGTGAAAATCCTCGATTAACAGCTCCCGAATCATCTGCTATGGTGCGGTACAGGGGGGGGGCGTACCAACACACACAACGAACTTAGAGACGAATGCGCACGGATGGCGCAAGATGCTGGCTTCATGGTGCATATTGAAACAACCGCCTTCAGCCCAGTGGAGGAGAAGAAGGCGGACCTAGCCTTACGTGACCGCTCTACCTGCACCATCTACATCTGTGACGTGACGGTAACAGATCCCATCAGCACCCGCGATGAGAACGCAACCAAGGGGCAGGGGTGGGCGGCACGGGAAGCGGCAGACAAGAAACACGGCCTTTACAAGGACCGCCCAGAGTGGGTGAAGTTTTTCCCACTCGCGGTCGAGACATATGGGTGCCCATGCCCCGAGCCGGTTGACTTCCGGAAGCTGCTCGCAGAAACGGCTGCACGGCGGTTTTTCAACGCCGAGCCATCCTCCTACCAAGCTGCCAAGCTCTTACATCAATACCGTCAGCGGTGGTCGGTGGCTCTTCAAAGGGGGCAGTCGATTGGGTACCTGGAAAAGTGCAACATCGCAGCAGCGGTAGAAAACCCGCTACTAGAGACAGCGGGTGAGGCCCCGTCCCTTGGGGACTGCCTCTTAGTTCTTGATCCTGCACTGGATCTTGCTTAGAGGGTGCTGAGCTGAGGAGTGAGTAGGAAGTGTAATATGTGTTAGCCCTACTTGTGTGATACCTATACCTTGCATGTCTGTTCACCTTAACTATCAATGAAAGGGCCAATAGAGAAAGGAGATCAGCGAGGAAAAAAAGTATGAAATGCCAGAATTAGTATTTACCAGAGCTTGGACGTTATAAAGAGGTCTTTGCGGTCGATTCCCATCCTTGCCATGCCATCCTCCAATGCTCTCCCGATCTGCTGACATGGTATGGCATGGAAGCCAAGTCAGCACAGGTTCACGTGGCATTTATTGGCTGCTGAAACCCTGGATGATGGGGACAGAGTGTTGCAATATGGAGGGCATGCATGCACCTCATGTTTCTACCTGTACAGGGCAGCACGCACCTCAGGTTCGTTGTTGTATTTTGGAGAGCAGTCAAAGTGACGATAACCAGCCTGACGATAACACGGAGATGAGGTGTAGCAAGAAGAATATAATTAAAAAAAAAAGGATGGTTTCGTTTCTTGGTTTTATTTTGTTGAGTGGGTTTCGGAAACGAAAATGCACAATCCTTACCTCCAGAGCAGCTGACACAGCAACGTCAGCATCTTCAGGTGCAATCTTCCACGTCCCCAATCCCACAGCCGGGATCTCATCCCCGCTATTGAGTCTAAATTTCGTTACCATGTGCTCCATGCTGTAGCACAAGAACCTATACCCGCACTGACGCGGATTAAAAGCGACTTTGACACTTGGAATATAGCACCACCTTGAATTTGGAGCAGCCCGTAATCAACGCAGCATACAGCAGTTACTAACCGTGCACGCCAGCGAGCCAGTTGGTCATAAAACGACCTTCTTCCTCCTCGTCCTCCTCTGAAGCAATCTCGTCAACCACTTGAAACAGTGAGCTTCGAAGATTCGACGAGCAGCAGCAGCTTTCCAACATCGCGACCACATTTTAGCGAAATGACTTTCCGAGATGCCTTCCACAGACTGGACAACTGGAACAGCGAACAACTGGACGGCGAAATTTCGACGCAAATTTCGTACGTGCAGATATTTATTCGAGCATGTGAATGCTGGCGACGCATTGACATGCCAAAGCCTCGCACTGTGCGATGCGAAGAAGGTCGATCGAGAGAATTCGCAACGATGCTGTGTCCGGATGGGCTCATAGCTCGCACGAGCCGCGCATGCGGATCTCATTAGTGATGACATCACCACTATAGATACATGCTCTAATAAAAGATCACGTACGCTGTGTCAGAAGTACTTGAAATCGCGCCACGTCAACTGGAAGCTAGAATTGTTCGGAAGCGACATTGGGTTGCACAACAATTTCACCGCTTCTCTGTTCTCCAACATTTGTTTACAATACACTAGTACCGTATGGCCCCGGATATAGGCGCCGTCCGATTAAAGGCGCCGGCGCTTCTATCTGGAGCATGGCGCTTATGGCCGAAACTAGATTATAAGCGCCCCCCCCTGGAAAACCTTTACTTATTATAAGCGCATGCACATTTTGAAATTATAAATCTGTTTAAAACGGTAACGAGTTTCATTTTCGCAGCGAGCCAAATTTCATCTTCGCTTCGTTTGACTCGCGAAGACCTGACTGGCTGCGGGTTTAGGGTTTAGGGTTTAGGATGTGCTGGCATGCCTTGCTGAACTTGCTGGTGTGCAGGAAGCAGAATCGCTTGCGCGCGATTCTGCTTTGTGACGCTATATTATTCCGACTCGTTTGAAATGGCATCAATGAAAGGTACAGTTTGGTACCCTAAAAGTATAAATTTGTATTTGTCATTATATAAGCGCATGCGCTTATGCCCGAAACTCAATTATAAGCACCCCCCTTGAAAAAATCAATTTTATTATAAGCGCATATGCGCTACTATCCGGGGTGATACGGTACATAGAATGCAGCAATTACTAACACTTGCCAACACTTGCCTTTTATATACTAGATGACAAGACAAAGATATACCGTAAGCAGCAAAACATTGGTGTCAGCAGGAACCCTGCAAGAAATAAAGAGACCAAATATAAGAACTGCAATCAGCACACTGAAAATAGCACAAGAGCTCATACAATGCTTGCAATTGCTTTACTTACCGTATGGGTATTGGCAAGCCATTTTCCGTTTCTCTAACTCCATCCGAGCAACATCTTTTTTCACTCTGCTTCCAGGCTGACCTTTGTTTCCACTTATACACTGTGATACATCTAGTACCCTTTGTTGCCTCGAATCCGTGTTCGCATGTCCACCTGTGAGAGGTTCACACATGCACAAAGTGAAAGAGTTTCCATTACTCATGCAAACTTGTGATGGATGGCCAAAACAGACATAAAACGCTCAAATATGGCACCCTTCAGCTGCACATTCCCCTCTCTTGCACCTCACATACGGATCCCCTATCCCAAATACACTGGCCAGAAATTCCAAAAGAACACCTCACCAGCCCCCTTCAGCCACGCACTCTCCTATCTGCACCTCACATACGGAACCCTTACCCCAAATATACTGGCCGGAGATTCCAAAAGCACATCCCAGTGGGCCCCCTTCTACCGCCAAACCCGCACCTCACCTGCCTGCCATGTCAACTCTTGTATGCACCTAGAGCACAGATTCCTCATGTCAGATCCACTTCGGGCACGGTTTCCTTCCTCATCTCAGATCTACTTCCAGCACGGTTTACTTCCTCACCTCAAATCAACTAAGCGCCCACCCGAAACGTACCCCTGCTCCACTCTTCACCTTCCTGCCCTCAACTATCCTCAACTATCCTCAACTCCCCTCATCCGTCCTCAGCCACCCTCAACCGCCCTCAACCGCCCTCACCCGCCCTCACCCGCCCTCACCCGCCCTCAACCGCCCTCACCCGCCCTCACCCGCCCTCACCCGCCCTCACCCGCCCTCACCGGCACTCACCTGCCCTCACTGGCCCTCACCTGCCCTCAAATTTCGTTCTCGCATCTCACCTGCCCTCTCTTGCACTTGGCGTAAGTTTCCCTCAGCCCCACACACTTGGACGGGATCTCAGGCGGCTGCTTTCCTGCGCACTCCTGCACCGGCCGACCTTGCTCCTGAAGCACGATAAGCCGAACGGTCAGGATGAAGAGGGTTGTGATGGGATGTACCGTTAGTCGAAGTTGTACGGAAATACGGTGAGTGCAGCGAAGAGAGCACGAGCAGATTACGAACGAAAGATGGAGATTTTCGTGCAACGAAGAGAGCACGGGCAGTCTTTCACTTTCGCGATAGTTCTCACTTTCGCAAGGCCTCTCACCTTCACGCACGGGCTTTCCGCGACGCACTTGACGAGCTCGTACGCCAGGCCCTTGCAAGACTTGGACATTTCCTCCGGCGAATCTGGAGCTAGTACAAGTCTACGACAAGGAGGCAAATGCACCTGCAGTGCTGTAACGATGCGCTTACAGCACCTCAAACACAGGTGTCGCTGGAGAATTCGCGAATTGCTAACTTGGTGTGTTCAAGGCTGTGGCTCGGCAAGTCGCGCTTTTCTAATATGGTTTAGGGCAAAGCAGGGATATCCGAAATAAACCAGCTTTGATCAGTTTATAGGCAAGAAGCATCTTTTGTACTCGCCATAGGCTGGCCTGTTCTCTACAACTTGCATAAGCAAGTTTGAGCATCCATATAGAAGCTAAAGCTGCGCTATTGTCACCCTCGAACTCGTCGTTTGTAGCACACTGCGGTTGGCTTAAAGCTGCAGTATACATTTGAAAGGTTGGGTTCAAAAACTTTTGAAATTTGAAAAGTTGCCCCAAAGCTGTGAGGCACACAATAAAAACCCTAAACCCGGCTGACAAATGTATACTGCAGCTTTAAATACACCGCCCATTGCTTCTCCCGTGCGACGCACTGGAACTAGGGATTGCATTCAGCGACAGGTTCGATGTTTTGCGTCTGAGGTGGCTCGTTTGGTTTTGCTGTTGATTTTTGCCGCTTCGTCCTACATTGGCAGTTGCGAAATTCATTTGTCTTGCTGCCCGCCAGTAACGAACAGCTTTCACACACAGCCCAATCTCCCGAGCCTCCGTTGGGGAAGGTTCCGCTGTCGATTCGCTATCGCTCCTTGGGAGGTTCGACTGTCGCAGCAGCGTGCGATACGACACAAGCCAGTCGTACACAAACACCGTACCGTCCACTCGAGGTGTTGACCAGCCAGGGCTGGGTTCCTCCTGACCGCAGTCCTGCTGCGCAGCGCTGCGCCCTCCGATTCAACGAAACGCGTTCCCTGGCGTTTTGCACAGACGACCACAGCACAGACCCACCAACCACACTTCTGCGCACCAAGCGGAGCGTCTCTTGCTTCCAGCCAAAGTCGGCAATAGCCCTACTTGACCTCGTCAGGCTTGTCAGAATGGTTCACTCTGTACGGTTTCATCAGTAGTTTCTTTGGTATCAAAATATGGATAGGTATATTACGTGGTTCAGCATGGTTTTAAGACCATGTGAGACGTCGTCAGAGAAGTTGGAACACCTTTGCAAGGAATGCCTCGGCTAATCAATCGCGGTTTCCTCCACTTGCTGCCCGCATCGTCAAAAATTCCCTCATTGACGACGACCCTCCAGTACCGTTTCGTCCACTTGCCTCAATGCCCCACATGCTGCCCATGCACCCCACTTTCCATGCTGGTTTCCCTCCAAGCCACCGCCTTCGAAATCCAGTTCCGCACACAATCCCCCCAAATCCGTGCCCGTGAACCAATCTCCGCATCTCCCTCCAATCCGAAACCTGCAACCCCGCTCCCCGACCTCATCCTCCGCCCGTTTTGCAAATTCAAGGGTGATTGCGGAACTCCCAGGGCAAAACGATGAGGGGGAGCTTTGGCGAGCACCTACGAACTGTACACCAGCCTCGATTCCTTCGGAAAGCTGGAAAGAGCTGCATCTTGACGAAGCAGAGCACTCTGTCAACTTTGAAACGAAAGGATGCAAAGCCCTTCTAAATGGTTCAATACGTTTCATTGCGTTCTTAAAGGGGCACTCAGCACCACCAGCACCCCCTGCCACTGTTCCTGGCCACAAATCCCAGCACAGTAGCTTCCCTCTCCGTTCCGCTTCTTTCTCCTGTCATGGAGTTTTGCTGAGCTTGATTTCGAGACAAGAGAGTCATGCTTGCTTGAACAAACGAGCCAAGTCCTACCAGGGTTTGTGGCTGACTAATGTTGCTTTTGGGATCTCTTCTCACCAGCTAGCTGTGATCTTACAAATTCGAGGGAACTTTATTGTCGTGTGAGTTTCCGTTCCCGGTGCACGTTCATTTGTGTGCAAATCCTAGATTTAAATCGCCTTGCGAATCCTGGAGTTTCATGCAGGTCCGTAGAATAGGAGTGCTAGGATTAGAATCTCCACCTCAGGTTTCTCATTAGTTTCATGCAACGCCTGTTAGGGACCTCGTTAACGTGATGTCACAACAGAGAAGAAACGATGGTGACGCGACCGCTCCAAGCTCTAGTCTCGAGCCAATAGGCCAGTCCGACTCCACCAGTAGGAATACCTATGCAGATAGCGTCCGTGACATCCGTGACAGCGTCACAGGTAGAGCGCAGATCATGGAGCCAGTGTCTTCCATGGATACCGTCATTGATACTAACAGCGACGCGACTAACGCCAGCAGAAGCAGTCGGAGTCGGAGCCTCAGGGGAGCCAGCGCCGGCGATAGCGGTAGTTTTCGGCTGATAAGCATAGGGAGGGGAAATTCATCTGAGGATTTGACATTATCACCAGGAAGCGAGGCAAGAACAGTCTCTTCGGGTTCGGTGCCTAGAAGGTGGGGTGCCGTCGCGTTAGGAGCGGCGAGGCTGATTCGGCAGGCGAGCAGCCAGCGGTTGATGCGGCAGCAGTCCATACGGGTTCGCGATACGGCGTCGGAAGAGGTACGCGGTTGATTAACTGTTTCTTGACATGTTCAGGTGTGCTCCTTTCGAAATAGTTTCACGCTTCCTTACCTTACCTTTACTGGTTTCGTCTCTTCGATACCTTGAAGATGCAATATTTTACGACTCGAAATTTTTATTTACCTTCGTCTTGCTCTGTCTTCTCTGCTTCTCTGCCTTTTCATTTTCACTGTTGCCTGCCTGCTCCGTCTTTTGCAGTTGGAAGAGCGCCAGAGCAACTGGGCCAATTCCCGTCCCATCGTTCTCCTGGACACGCTCTGGAACCTCATCTTCGTTCTCGTCGCCATCGCGACGCTCTCCGTGAGCCGCAACCACAAGGAGGAACCCGCGGCTCCGCTCGGCGTGTGGCTCATGGGGTACTCGGCTCAGTGCATCATTCATATTGTCTGCGTGCTCGTGGAGTTCGACCGCCGGCAGCAAATCCCGGACGAGAGGAGGAGCGACCGGAGTCGGGCGAGGAGGAGCGGCGGAGCGAGCAGGAGCAGCAGACGAGGGCTCCGCGGGTTGCGGAGCGCGAGCGGAGGAGGGGGAAGGGGAGGAGGAGCAGGAGGTGCAGCGGGGAGTGGGAGTTCTGGGGATATTCGAGAGGGGTTGTTGCAAAGAGGGAGCGATGACGAAGAGGAGGAAGCGGAGGGGAGTACGGGGGAGCAGCGGATGGAAGATGATCGGATTGACAGGTACTGCTGGCGAACGCATATGTGTTTTTTTCGAGGCGCGACGCAAAAGTAACGGCGATGTTATCTTTGCGATCATTGTCGTCGTCGCTCGTCGGTCGTCGGTCGTCGGTCGTCGCTTTGCTTGATGGTACCAGTGCAACACCCAGCAACTCAGTGCCGGAATCTTGGCCTGCTTTTCTTGCCTGCGCGTGTGCTCGCAGCATCGCGAAGCAAATCGAGTCGGCGAACACCGTCTTTTCGTTCCTCTGGTGGTCCGTGGGGTTCGCGTGGATCATCTCCACATTCGACGATACCTTTGAGGATGCGCCCATCCTTTCCTGGTAAGAACACACATAGACTCTCTCCCATTCCATCCTGCTATTTTTTTTCGTTCCTCTGGTGGTCCGTCGGGTTCGCGTGGATCATCTCCACCTTCGACGACACCTTCGAAGACGCTCCCATTCTTTCCTAGTAAAACTTTCTCAGACGCTTCCATTCTTTCCTGATGGTTTTGCATCTAGACGCTCCCACATGCGGCGTCTTTGTGGTGGTGATTCACGGCATAAGCCGTTCAAATCCCACCGTTTTTCCAAATCACAATCCGCAGGATGCGGATGTCGTTTCTTGCTCTCTCATTCTCGACGTCGTTTCGGTGGTGATTCACACGACATCACATTATAAATTCCACCGGTTCCCCGGCAACCCAATCCGCAGGGTGTGCATGTCGTTTCTGGCTCTCCCATTCTCCACGTCGTTGTGGTGGTGATTCACACGGCATAACCCGTCCAAATCTTCCCGTTGCACCGCAACCCAATCCACAGGGTGTGCATGTCGTTTCTGGCGTTCGACGTGTTTTTCGTCATCTTCTGCATTGCGCTCGCGTGTCTGGTGGGCATCGCCGTGTGCTGCTGCCTGCCCTGCATCATCGCGGTTCTCTATGCCATGGGCGAACAGGAAGGTGCCACGAACGAGCAGATTCAGTCCCTCCCGCAGTTCAAGTTCCGCCGGCGAGGCTCTCCGCCAAACAGCAGCCGCCCGCTCACCGCGTCCTCCGCCCTCTCCGCTATCACAGAGGCGCTAGGCGTTGCGACCAGCAGCACCAGCACCAGCACCACCACCATTAGTGCCAACAGCAGTAGTGGGCTAAATAGCAGTGGTGAAAACAGCAGTGGTGGTACGGGGGGCAGTAGCGGGAAGGGAACGGGGGATGCCGAGACGAAGGAGGAGGTTCACGTGACGATTGACGAGCCGGCAGGGGGGGTTATGACGCAAGTGGGAGGGTCGAGCCAGCCGCCGCGGGAGAGAGAAGTGGCAGACGAGGATGCGGTACGTTGATACTCTTTGCCGTTGTAGGAGATGCGGTAGGTTGATACTCCTCAGGGATTCGGATGGTTGGGGATGTGGTGGGCCGGGAATGCGGATGGCTGGGGATGCAGTGGGCTGGGGATGCGGTGGGTTGGGGATGCGGAGGGCTGGGGATGCGGAGGGCTGGGGATGCGGAGGGCTAGGGATGCAGAGGGCTGGGGATGCGGAGGGCTGGGGATGCGGTGGGCTGAGCATACACGGACTCAGCAGAACTTTTGTGCGCTACCCTTGTCTCTTCCTCATCCTCACTCTCCGCCCTTGCTCCCTTCCAGGAGTGCTTTATCTGCCTCAGAGCATATGAGGACGCGGTGCTGCTGAGTAGAACCTTATTCCCCTCACCCGTGTCTCGTCCTCATCCTCTCCCCGCCCTCTCTCTCTCCCCATTCTTCCTCCCTCCCAGGAGTGCTGCATCTGCTTGGGGCCATACGAGGACGCGGTGCTGCTGACCTAACTCATTTCCCTCACCCTGTCTCTTCCTCATCCTCCTGTCTCCGCCCGTGCCCCCCCTCCCTTGTCTTCCTCCCAGGAGTGCTGCATCTGCCTGGGCCCATACGAGGACGCGGTGCTGCTGAGGGAGCTGCCCTGCTCGCACCACTTCCACTCCGCCTGTGTTGACAAGTGGTTACGCACCCGCCCCACCTGCCCCCTCTGCAAGTACGACATCACTGCCCCGCCCAATGCTGCTGCTCAGAACAGTAGTGGGAGCAGTGGTAGTGCTGGTAGCAGCAGCAGCAGCAGCCAAAGCAGCAGCAATACTGCAAGCAGCAGCAGCAACACTGAAAGCAGCAGCAGCGGCAATAGAGACGCCGACCTTGGCAGTGAAAGCGACAACGCCTCGACTTTCACTCCTGCTTGATCAGCTGGCATTCTCCTGCTGCACAACAGCCAAGCCAACCCGTGGCATTCCGTTCAAGGCTAACCCCTGCATTTTATTAGGAGCCGGGCTACTAGCAAGCATGACCAAGGTGGCGACTTATGACTCATCAGTCAAGCCTTGGCATGCCTGCTCTGGAATCTGCATTCCTGCTGTGCTGGTTACCATCTACGGCAGTCTGCGGTGCTGGTGCTGAGTTGAGTGACCTGCAAGGCGTCTGTCTATGCCCAGCAGCACGCGTTTGAATTGTAACAAGAACTTCTTTTGTTGCAGGGTTCTTGTTTAACCTGGTGGCGTGATGCAGAGGGAAATAGCAGTGGAGGCTGCTTCCTGGTGTACAGTACAGTGCACAGCCTACGGACTCAGCTGCGCCTGATTACGCTAATCAAGCCGGCTGCTTCAGTCAGCGATTTGCTGACTTGCGCGAAAGATAAGGAGTGCTCATGAAGTCAAATTGAGCATGTTAAGTCATGAATGCTGAAGTTGCCACCGGTGAACAATGTACGACGGATTGTGCATCTTGATCTGACATGCTTTACCTAGGTTCCTTACTGTGTATCAGTCCACCACAGATGTGAATGCTGATTTTGTTTTGTTGATTATTCTACCTGGTCAATATCTGATTTTATGTGGTGCAATCTCCAAAAGGTATATTTTTCACCGTGTGGCTGAGTCAAATTCAAATAGTGGTGCCGACATTCCCATGGTACTGTCGCGACAGTTAGGGAATTCTTCCCAAATACTCGCAGACATATCGGAGCATGTTATATTGGACATATATACTGAACTGTGCCGAGTCACTACCAAATATCGACATCCTTTCACATAAGCAACCTGATTGCGCTTTCGCGACTCGTTTATCCTTTGTGTCGTCGTTAGTCGTAGCGCGTCGTCAGTCGTAGCTTGTCGCTCGACTGTCGTTGAAACGTCTCAGGCGTTTGTCGTAGCGCATAGAAATTTCGTACTCGTGCGACAGTCGCGAGGCATGTCTGCGAACGGAAAGAAGGAAGCGCGCCGATGGGCCGTCGACTTGGCCGACGCGGCGTCGGCAATCTCGAGGGACGTTCCAGATCCGCCTGGATTCAACCGAAACGCGGCAGAGCTGGTGAGCAGTAATTGCTTGTAGCTGTGATTTGGTAACCAGATGCGCGAAACCGTTTCCCTGTAGACCTTTCCGAATCTGGGAAAGGCCTGTGATCCCCTTTGCCCCAAATAAAGACTCATGCGCCCCGTCTCCTTTTTTGTTGGCGGTGCGTGTGCTCGTCTCCTGTGTGATAATGTCGCGAGTGCTTGAATTGTGTGTGCTTGTATCGCGTTTGCTTGTATCAGGTGTCCAGCAGCAGCGGATCCAAGGCTCTGGCACAAAAAGACAAGGCCCTTGACCCGGCAAAGAAGCAGGAGGTGAGGAGGGTTTGATTATTCTACAACAGATTGAAAGGGCTGTGAGGGGCTTGGGTGAAGCGGGAGGATTCATGTGGTGCGAGTGTTTCTTGCTGTGGGAGGCTTGGTGTGGTTTCGACTTCTTTCCCCATTGCGTACCTCATTCGACTTCTCCCCTTTTCAGATTTCCCTGGCTGTAGCCCAGTTTAAATTGAAGAATCTGGTCATGATGGGATTCCTATTCTGAATAACCCATGCTCGTTTCAATGTTGATGTAAATGTGTACATGGAAGTGAATATCCTATACATGTTTTCCTCTTCCCTTTCTCACCAAAATTCCCCCCCTTTCAGCGTGCATGGGCCCTAGCCCAGTCACCTACCAAGAATCTTCTCATGATGGGATTCATGCTCTGGATGGCTGGAAGCACTGTGCACATTTTCAGCATCGGAATCACCTTTTCCATTCTCTGGCAACCAATTTCAGCGCTGAGGACCATAAACGCTGGTACCTCTCTTGGTTTTCTTGGGTGTGTGTTCCAAGTATCTCCGTGCATATCATAGAAATCATCATAAAATGCTGGTGCTTTGTGTGTCACGTGGTGTTTCCTCTCGCTCCCCCCCCCCCCCCCCCCCCCCCCCCTTTCCTCCTATCTCTCTTCCCCTTCCCTCCTGCATCATTTCGTGTGCTTGAGTCATGTGCCTGTGCTGTTTAATGTGCCGTTCATCAAACCCCCCCTGCAGCGTTTGAGCCGTTCAAGGATCCCAAGGTGGATGTGGTGCTGCCAAAAATGATGTATGCTGCAGTCAACCTCTTCCTCCTCTCCATCGGCCTCTGGAAGGTGCTATTTCCCTGCTACCGCGCGTTACCGATTGCTACTCTCTTGCTAGTCCCTTCTACCCCTTGCTACTCTCTTGCTAGTCCCTTCTACCCCTTGCTACTCCTCGCTACCTCTGGTAATTGCTTGCTGCTCCTTTCGACTCGCAATACTTCCAGCTTGTTCCTCCCACATCAGATTGATAAGGCATCACGGGTTTCATTTTCTTTCCATGCAGTTGAATGGCCTGGGATTGCTTCCAACGCGTCCTGCTGATTGGATTTCTTCGCTCCCTCCCAGACCAGTAAGTTGGTGCAAGGTTTTAAGAATCTGCAGGGACTTGGCTGTGCAGATGCTTGCTGTCATCCTCATTTGCATGGATTTGTTTTTTCTTTATTTCGCTTGATGCGAACACTTGAGGTATCTTTGTCGTTCCGCTTGGTTGTGTCTGCAGGTGCCAGAGTTTTCAGCTGGTGGGATAACATTATAGTTCAGTTTCAACTATCCATAATGCGAGTTTAACATCATGGTGAGATGCAACTTTATCATGAAGCAGTTATATAATTCTACTTAGGTTTTGTGTGGAATTCTATTAAACAGCGGATTCAACATCTGTACAAACTGCAAATTGAGGACCCTCAGACGGAATGAGTACGAGGGCCAATAGAGGGTTTTGGTTCGGTCATATCGACGGTTCCGGGGAGTGCAAGTTGCGGTCCCGATTGTGCCACTGGGAACGGAACAGAAACCTGCAACACATTTGATTGGAGAATCCATTCACTTCCGCCATAAATCCGAAGACTCCAAAAAAGTGCACAAGGTTTAGCCGAGGAAGTTACTATTCACATGTCAAATCTGATGGTGCTGTTCGAACTCCCTGAAAACTAGCTGCACCGCGCTACTACTACCTTGAACGTACCATACCGTACATTCGTTTATAAGGTTCTGTCTGTCTGCTGGAACCCCTGCATGCCACACCTGAGATTTACATACAGTTCATGTATCAGTGTTTTCAGGCTGATGAAAAACGGTACAGAGCGGTGAAGATTTAATCACCGCTTCAGAGTGCACATTATCGTACTCAACCGCTTATACTGAGCATTTAGTTAAAGCCCGAGTCTAGAATGGTAAGGCTTCAAGAATACTGAACTTGAAAGGTGTTGGGAAAGCGACGGAATGAGCAAGCGATGGTCATGTGAAGGTCACCGACATGATGGGAGAGCGTGGGAGACACTCAGAGTAAGCGTGGGCGTCGGACGCGGGAAGGGAGAGCCACCTAAAAGGCGACGGGAGGGGAGGCGAATTCAAGTTCAAGAATCTTGAACTTGAAAAGTTGCCATTCTAGACTCGGGCTTTAAACACTGGTGACCTCACATTGGGATTACCTGGAGAAAGAAGGTACTGTTTGAGCATTTTTTCTTCAGGAATCAGGACTACCTTACCAGCATAATTTCTGGCAGGAATGACCTGACTAACAGTGGCTTTCATTGGCGTATGCAACGTACCAGGTACCTAGTTCGTGAGAACCCTCTCTAATCGCCAATTGGCTAGCGTTATTCCCATGGCGTCATGAAGAGTTTTTTGTGGAGCCAGAAATAGACGTTCTAGCATTTGTTGACAGACTACCAATTTTGCTGGAATTGAGGCACATGGAGGAGGTAATTATTCATTCGAGTCAAGAATGATAATTACTTGGCTGCATTGAAGTTTATGCAGGAGACTGTTGGCGGACGCACCTGCAGACCTTTAATGTCCGCGTCATTGCTGCTAACATCTGTTACTCACAGATTTTCCGGCGGTTGTTATACGTTTTTTAGCGACAATGGTGTCCGAGGGTTACCCTGGCGAAGACAGCGGCTCTTCGTCAACGACGCACCGGCGAAATGTCGCTTCGTTTCAGAAAGTCCCCAGTAAAACAGAAGTTGCTAAGCTGATACTTAATAAACCAGACCAACACGCCTCCTCCTCCGCGTTACTGTCAGCAGCAGGAAATTTTGATCCGGAAGGAGCAGCATCACCTAGAGAAGCATCGGGTCGTCCTCGCGTCTCGCTATTAACTACGGGTATTGTTCTCTTCGGGCCGTCGCTGATTCTCCTGGCCATTCTCAACATCTCCGCCAACTACGACCGCGAGAAGCTCCTCCGCCAGTCCAGCGCGGAGCTTGCGCGGAAACAGCTGATGCGCCAGCAGCGGGGACATTCCGGGACTAGCGGCGCGAAACACGGCGGGATCGGCGAGAATTCCAGGCGCTCGGACCAGGAGAAAAGGGGGGGATGGGCGGGAGGGGGAGCGGGGGGAAGGGGGATCGGGGGAGGACGCGGGGGAGGAGCTGTTCGGCGGAAACCCTTTCTTTCCCCCCCGCCTCAGGGAAAGCTGAATGAGAGGCTATGGCAGCAGGCGCAAAAGCAAGGGGTGTTTTTACCGGGTCAACCTGAGGAGCTTAATACAAGGAAACTCGAATACAGGACAGGTGAGGGGTTAAGTAAGGGTAAAAGTTTTTTTTTTTTTTTCCCAGAAACTAATCTGTCCAGTAGTGCCATTCGTTCCTCAGGATCATATTTCGACCCAGGCCAAATAATTGTTTTTTGACAACCTCTGGTTTTGAGACGTCTCTGGGGCTCAGGCTCAGATTGTCTCAAAACTGTTGAGAAGTCGCGTAACAAATCCAGCGCCCTGAGAAAAAGCCCATTGTGCTTCAGCGCCCTGCCCGTTTTCTCTGTTCCCTTCCCTTCTCTCCTTCCGTCTCTCTTCCCTCCCGTTTGCCAACGCCAACTTCACCTCTCCTGCTCACCCCCCCCTTCCCCCTCGCTCTCCCCCTCCACTTCCCCCTCCCCCTGCCCCGCCAGATGCTGACCTGGATGGGGGTAACATGCGCCACATCGGATCAATATCCAATCCCTGCCTCACAAAACGGCCATTTCTGCAGCGGGCCTATCAGGAGCCGCCACCTGTCTCGGGCACTCCCATTGGCCAGCACCGGTTTGTCATGGCGGGTGGTTACCGCATCGGTGCTAACCAGTTTGCGGCTGTGGGTCACTCGCTGCGTGAGCTGAAGGAAGAGGGAGGAAGCGGGGTGAGTTGATGCGCAGAGGGATGAGTTGACACGCAGAGGGGTGATTTGACACGCAAGTGAGTTGACACGCAGTGGGGTGAGGTGTCAGACAGTCGGCTGAGTTGGCATGTAGTGGTGAGTTGACAAGCAATGGGGTTGATAACTTTTGTGCCTTTTTTTCCTGTTAGTATTTGGGGCCACTTTTACACCCTTTTTTTCCCTTTTGCTACTAGATATCTGAAGCCTTTTCCCCCTCGTTTTGTCCCTTTTGCCAGGCGAGCAAATGCTACTGGATAGCACTGGATGGGGGGTACGCAGAGGGCAAAGTGAGGGTAATTTACCCTGCGGAGCACCACTGGCTGGTATACGAGACTGCCATATACGAGTGTACTCTGCTGGTCAACAGTACCGGCACCACTGGAGGATCTGCAATTCTCGTGCTAGGTCAGTGCCAGGCACTGCAGCAATTGCTGTATGAGACTGCCATTTACGAGTGTACTCTGCTGATCAACAGTACCGGCACCACTGGAGGCACTGCCATTCTCATGCTAGGTCGGTCTATTTGTGTGTGAGGGGATGAGTGGATAGGGGTAGGGGCTGAGTGAGGGAGTGATTGGGGGAGTGAGTGTGTGGTGGGGGTGAGTGAGAGAGCTCTCAGATTTGCGTGGATTGCCTTCATCGCTGTGGTTCCATCCAGTTTGGGTTCACCTTTTTATGATCCTCCGTCCGCCCGTTCCTCCCTCCCTCCCTCTTTCCTACCTCCCTCCCCCCCTCCCCCCCTCCCTCCCTCCCTCCCTCCCTCCCTCCCTCCCTCCCTCCATCCCTCCCTCCCTCCCTCCCTCCCTCCCTCCCTCCCTCCCTCCCTCCCTCCCTCCCTCCCTCCCTCCCTCCCTCCCTCCCTCCCTCCCTCCTTCCAACCCTCCCTCCATTCCTCCCTCCCTTCCTCCTTCCCTCCCTCTCCACTTTCCCCGTCCCACAGACGAGCAGGCAGTGGTGATGCACGAGGAGGGGCAGGACGAATTTTCCATCGATGCCTCTCCCTTTGGGAGGCGAGATGGGTTCAAATGGGTGCAGATGGGTCTATTCTCCTCCCTCCTCCTCACCCCCCACACACACAGACGAGCAGGCAGTGGTGATGCACGAGGAGGGGCAGGACGAGTTTGCCATCGATGGACCTCCCCCCTACCACCTGGCCTTCTGCTCCTACCCCATGTATCGCCATCTCAACCCCAAGACCATCCAGGAGTGGTTGCAGGTACGGCTGGGTGCATCGTACAGGTATGACTGGGTACAGGTATGACTGGGTACAGGTATGACTGGGTACAGGTATGACTGTGTACAGGTATGGCTGGGTACAGGTATGGCTGGGTACAGGTATGGCTGGGTACAGGTATGGCTGGGTACAGGTATGGCTGGGTACAGGTATGGCTGGGTACAGGTATGGCTGGGTACAGGTATGGCTGGGTACAGGTATGGCTGGGTACAGGTATGGCTGGGTACAGGTATGGCTGGGTACAGTTATGGCTGGGTACAGGTATGACTGGGTACAGGTATGACTGGGTACAGGTATGGCTGGGTACAGGTATGACTGGGTACAGGCTATGTGGCAAAAGACGCGTCCTGCGTCTAGGACGCTTGCGTCCAGACGCAGCGTCTTAGATGCAGGACGCTAGATGAGGGCCTTTAGGACGCATGAAAAGACGCATGCCCGGGCAGGGCAAAAAAAAACCCCGGGCAGCTGTAAAAAAAAGTTATAGGGCTTGGGAAGGGAGGGGGGGGGGGACCTTTGCACACATTCAATGCAAAATTTTCCCCAACAATAAACCTTAAGGGTTTACTAAGGAGAATTGGGGTTGTGAATGGAGGGAGCACAAATGAGATGTGTGCAACCCTAAATGGGTTTGGTTGGTGGCCACAAAGGTTGGATGTTCTAGATGTAGAGTGGTTGGGTGGGTTGGGTTGGGGGCTTTACAAATTTGTGTAGAGGGGTTTGAAGTTGGGGGGGGTGTGCTGTTTCAATGTCGAGTTGCTTTTGGGGGGTCGTTTTTTCGCGAAATTGACATTCGCGTCGAATTCGCGAATGTCAATTTCGCGTTTCGGGATTTTTTTTTTTTCCAGAGGCAGACCGAAAAAAAAAAACAGGGTGCGTCCTGCGTCTCTGCGTCCAGACGCAGGACGCAGCAGGACGCGTGCGTCTTTTGCCACATAGGGTACAGGTATGGCTGAGCTGGTAAATCTGCCTTCTGCTCCTACCCCATGTACCGCCACGCCACCTCAACTTAAAGACCATCCAGGAAAGGTTACAGGTACGGCTGTCGTGGCTATTGTTATGCCTGTCCTAGTTACCACGCATGTTGATTGTGAAGGCATTACTGGTCTTTTGCTCCTTTTGTGGCGACCATCCAGAGTGATTTCAGGTATGCACGGCTGCGCTGGTTACCACACCTGTTGATGTCAAATTTGCAGTACGGTAATCTGCCTTTTGCTCCTACCCCATGCATCACTACCTCAACTTGAAGACCATCCAGGTTGGTTGCTTGCAGGTATGCGCCACATGTGCCCCACACCATGTGTCCCCCCCCGCGTCATGCCTGCCCCACAGGATGTGTGTCCCACATCCCCCTCTGCATCCCTTCCTTCTTTCCACCCTCCAACCCCTCCCCCCCTTCCCTCCCTTCCCAGATAACCCTGCACTACCTAGGAGTGGAGTACTTTGTTCTCAACGATGGTGCTTCAGGTCACCCCTTCTTCCCCATATCATGTGTGCCCCACACCCTGTGCCCCACACCCTGTGCCCCACACCCTGTGCTGTGCCCCACACCCTGTGCCCCACACCTTGTGCCCCACACCATGCACCCCACCCCCCAGATAGCCCTGCACTACCTAGGCGTGGAGTGCTTTGTTTTCAACGACGGTGCTTCTATCCCCCCCCTTTTCTTCCCCATACCATGTGCCTAACCTCCCACTCAGCATCCCTTCCTCCCTCTCTTCCCTTCCCCAGATAGCCCTGCACTACCTAGGCGTGGAGTACTTTGTTTTCAACGACGGTGCTTCCGTCGTGGAAGACGTTTACGAGGTGGGGTGGTGGTCCCTTTTTCTTTCTTATGTTTTGCATAAAGCACCCAGGTCGCATTTTTTAGTCGGCTCAAAGCTGAACGACGGTCCTTCTGTCGTGGAAGACGTTTACGAGGTGATTCATTGCTCTTTCTTATGCCCTGCACAGAGCACATGCGTAAAAATGTACACTTTTTGAAGCAAAAAAAAAAGACATTTATGCACCTTATTTTGATTGTTTTATGTTAAGATATGCATCTCAATCTCAATTTCAGTGTTTACTTCAGCACTGTACTAGTTCCTATCTGGAAAGTGGCAGGCAGCCTTGCCTTGTATTGAACGATTGTGCCGTGTTGGCAAAGCAAGGAAGAGATGAAGCGACAAGTGAGTGAAAGCTTTTATTCCTGGGAGAAGATCTTCTTTCATCTTACCCCCCCTCTTCCCTCACGCACTCACTCACTCCCTCCCTCCCTCCCTCCCTCCCTCCCTCCCTCCCTCCCTCCCTCCCTCCCTCCCTCCCTCCCTCCCTTCCTCCCTCCCAAACTCACTCATTACCTCAATCCCTCTAACTTCCCTCCTCCCTCTCTCCCCCTCCCTACTCACTCCCTCACTTTCTCCTCTCCCTCACTCCCTCACTCACTCACTCACCGCCTCCCTCACTCTCTCACTCACAGGTCCTGGAGCCATACATGGCAGCGGGGATGATGGAGATATTGGACATGCGGGGAGGGTACAAGTGAGTGGGGGAGGTTACAAGTGAGTGGGGGAGGGAGTGTGTGATTAGGGAGGGTACATATGGGTAGGGGGAGTACGAGGTAGTAGGGAGGCGAGGGTGTGAGTGGGGAGGGTAATAGTGAGTGGGGAGGGTACAAGTGAGTGGGAGAGTGTACAAGTGAGTGGGGGAGGGTACAAATGAGTGGGGGAGGAAGTGTGGAGAGTGAGTGGGGAGGGGTACAAGTGGGTGATGAAGGGTCAAGTGAGTGTGGAGACAGAGGGTACGAGTGAGTGGCAATAGCTGTTTATAAGTTCATAAAACGACACAAGTCCAGATATTCCCTGTGCTTCCCATTCCCCTGTGCTTCCAATCCCCCTGTGCTTCCCATTCCTAGATACGAGTCCAAGCAGAACGTGCTTGTATTGAATAATTGTCTCTACCGGATGAAATATGTGTCCAAGTAAGTTTCCTCTTCCGCACTCTCTACCAAGCTGGTTGAAAAGGATTCCTGTAACTGATTATTAACTTTTCCACCACCTCTGCAACCCCACCTTTGCACATTCTCTCCCTCACCTCACCCTGCCTCTCTGTCCTCACTCACTCTCGCCCATTCTCATTCACTCTCTTCCACGACACCTGGTGGGTGTTCTTTGCCGACTTTTGATGAGTCTATGTTACCTTCTCTTACTCCCCCTTACTTTCTCACTCTCCCTCACTCACTCACTCTACCTCCCTCACTCGCACCCACTACTCCAGGTGGGTGTTCTTTGCCGACTTTGATGAGTTTCTGTTACCTTCTCTTACTCCCCTTCTCATCCTCCCTCACTCACTCTACCTCACTCACTCGCACCCACTAATCCAGGTGGGCGTTTTTTGCCGACTTTGATGAGTTTCTCCACATCCAGCCGCCCCAGACCCTTAAAGGGTTGCTACAGGAGCACTCTCACGCGCCCTACATCACCTTTGCCAGCCTCTGGTGGTCCATCGAACGCTGCCGGTACGTGTGTTTGCTGTGCGGTAAGGATGTGTGATAAGTGTGCACGAACTGAGTTACATGTTACACTTGAATGGTTGCTACAGGAACACTCTGACGCGCCCTACATCACCTTTGCCAGCCTCTGGTGGTCTATCGAGCGCTGCCGGTACGTGCCACTTCTGTCAGTCAGTGTGGTGATAAAGCATTGCCAGCAATTTCCTCCCTTTTCTTTTGTTGCCAAACTGTGATTTTCCAACCCTTTTCCTCCCTTTACCACCCATCCCCCTCAGCACCCCCAACATTTCCATTTTCATTCCCATCTTTCCCATCCCCAACCCCCACCTCTCTTTTCACCCCACAGCCCTCAGCCTCCATCGGACCATTTTTATCTCGAGCGAATGCCCTTCCACTGGCCGCACATTTACTGCATAGGGCCCAAGAATGCGGGTCATGTGGAGGATAAGTGCATCAATTATTTCGGGCATCGGAAAGTTATCGCCAACACAAAGCTTGTGAAGGCCATGCAGGCAAGTAGAACGGTTTCTTTCCAGTGATTCTTATTTGTGTGCTTGTTTGTTTTTTTGGTTCCGTATGCTGGTTTCGATGGTTCATCAACCCACCTATCTCGCATTCATCCGTCCAGGTGCATCGTACAATAGAGCCAGTGGATAATGGAATCGACTTCCCTGCATCGTCTGGCCATTTACTGAACCATTTCCAGGTATGATTTCTGGCAATTTTTTTTTTTTTTTTTTTTTTTTTGAAGGGGTTTTTTCCTCCGTGTTTCTGTGCTTACGTACCCTATGTCCCTTACCACACTCTAACCCTTCAACCGATTGTGTGCCATGCAGGGCTTGCTGCGAGGTGATATTAAGATGTGTGAAGAAGTATTTGCAACAAATAGCACTCCAGAATGGTACATAGAGGACTGGCATCTGGCCGAAATGTCCAAGCAAGCCAGACTTCTTGGCCCACCACAAACGATTTTGTATTGATGCAGAAAACTAATGTGGAAATAGTTCTGTAATGCGGATAGCTAGCATACACACAGCAGCTTGTAGTAAGCTGAGAGTCGTTCTAAACCTGATTCTTTTTTCTGCCGCGTCAATGCCACCGTGGATATGTGGGACTGCCAGCACATTTCACCCCACCAACCGCAATTCCAAGTTCTCTATTCGCACGTGGCTGCTTACGTGCCCTTTCCATGGTCCACGACTAGGCTATTGGACCACGGCTGACTCACATTGGCCCACCGATGACCCAACTGTCCAGCAGTGCGCGGGACAAGGACTCACATCGGGATTCGGGAATCGCGGGTCCACATGTCTGACGTTCCCCTCGGGATTTGCTTGACCTGGATTTTCACATGCTGGTCTAGTCCGTAGGTCTCCTGCCTCACAGCCTCCTTGATTCCTCTTTATTGACACTAGTAAATGTACAATGGATACAAGGCAAATCCAGAGACGTAGTGTATGGAGAGACATGCAGGCTAATCCTATTGTGAGGCCTACAAATAGGCCTCTGTGATGTCTCAATGGTCCTCTCCCAAGTAGGCAAAGTCAGCTGCAGAAAGAGAAGTCACCTCGGGTGGTGCGTGGTTGACGCCCTCGGTAAAACGAATTTGTGCACGACGACAAACAGTGCGAGCCTGCTCACGTTGATGGACCAGAGAAATCCGTTTGTAGAAGTTGGTCTCAAACAGCTGGGGAAGAGAATCTGTGGCACCACTCAAGTCGCGGAGTTGTGACGCCCCTTTGCGGCTGCATTGGCGAAGGAAGTTGTTGAACGAAGAGCCGAAGCAACCAAAGGTTTCGATGACAAGGGGAAACAGTTCGATGTCTGGACGGTCACGAAGTGCTGCAGCATAGTGGGTGGTCTTCTCACTTTCACGAGTGGCTGCTGCTGAACCAATCACCGTAGCTGCGTTGGAGTGCGGAAACCCCTTTTGTGGATCAGCAACAGAAACATCCAAGGCCCAGGTGGTACCAGAGCTAATATCGCGGCAAGTGATGTCTGTGCGGCGGCCAGGCAGGAGATGCTGGTCTTCCATCTGCGCAGAGAACCCAAGCTCCAAGGCAATGCGATGAACTTCTCGTTTGATTGCGTCGTGCACCTTAGTAGGCTCGTTGTTGCTAGGGCAGCGAAGGACATGAGAATGGATGGAAGGATCGGTGAACGGGGAGTTGCAGGTGCAGGTGAGTGAAGATGAAAGGTGAGGAAGAGGAAGGCCTAAGCGGATAGCTGCTGCAATGCGCCATTCAGTCTCTGAAAGCTGCATGTGCGGGGAGGATGGAGCCACAGTGAGCCAGTCACCTGCATGCGGGCCCTGCAAAGAGGTTAGACGAGCAAGGCGAAGCGGGGACGTTACTGTGGCTCGAACCTTCTCCAGCAAATCGGCTTCGAGGTGTTGGGAGAGATGAGTAAAGAGTTTAGGAGGGTAGCCCGATTGAAGCACAAGCCATGATGGGAAGCGATCACGAATGTCTTGGGGAAGCATGGTCATGGTGGATGAGATTGAAGGGTCGAGGAGGTTAATGGAGTCCGTGGTGACGTAAGGGCGGAAAAGAGGAGCACCATCAGTGATGAAGTGGGTGGATAAGGTCGAAACTGTCTGCGCCCAGCTACAAAGGTAACTGAGGGGGGCGATGGATGCAGAGCTGCGAATGCCGAAGCCACCTAAGCGGATAGGGAGCGAGGCTTGGAGGCGGGCCGATGTGGACTGTTCAGAGGTGGGATTCCAGTACTCAGAGCCCAGGAGCTGAGAGAAGTGGCTGAAAATGGTGCAGTCCCATGAAGAAAGTAGCTCTTGGATTTCGGGAAAAGGTGCGACAGTTCGGAGGAGGAAAGAAGGTCGGGCAGTGATGCATAAGGAAAGGATCCGTGAGGCAATCTGTGGGTCCTGCAGTTGATGCAGTAAGGGGAGGGAGGAAGTGAAAGAATCGAGTTTGTCACGAACTGTAGAGATGATGTAACCGTCGGAGCCGGTAGGAACGCCAGCGACAGTGAGACCGTTTGCAGCGATGGAAATACCCGGGGGTGGAATGCAGTGTTCGGGCAGGTCCATAGGGGCCCATAGAGAGCACTTAGAGGGTTGGACTGTAAGGCCGAGAGAGAGAAGGCGGGAGGTAAGGTCAGTGTATGCGGCAAAGACGTCTGAGGGAGGGCCGACCAAGTAGGTATCGTCTGCGTATGAGGTAATGAAAATTGAGGGAGACTGCTGCTGGGTTGGTTGGATGGCTAGCTGCTGTGTTAGGGCATAAAGGAAAGGGCCACAAGGGTCGCCTTGACGAACACCAGAAGCTGATTGGAATGTGTGGAGAAGGGGGCCGCTGCGGTAGTGGAGAGGTGAAGGGGTGGAGTAGAATAGGCGGAAGAAGGGAATGAGACTGGAGAATGGGGAGCGCCTTAATGCCTCAAACATGGAAACCCGGTTGAACGAGTTGAACGCGTTTGCAACGTCCAGCTGAAGCACCACCCAGTCTGGATGAAGGGAGAAGGCGGAGCACACTGCGTGCGACATAATCTCGATCCCGGCCGGAACTGCTACGCCAAATTGAAGGTGAGGAAGGAATGTCTCTCGCATCTGCTGCTTAAAAAGGAGAGTGATGCAGCGTGAAAGGAGGCGTGGTAGCACTTCCCCAATGGATTCAGGAATCATTTCTCGCGAATTCACACTGTAATATACTTATTAGCAGATATATTCAGTCAGCGTCTGGTATTGCGTTCTTTCCAGCTGAACCTCCTAGATTAGTATTGCCGACCTAGAAGTGTACGAGTCGTGTAGCAGTACCGTTTCCTATCGAGTTTTGAATTGCATTTATGTGAAATCGAGACCTGTGGCATCGTAACTTCTTTGTCGCAAATACTGTGCTTCATCAGGGTTTGAATCGCGTCGCGACAGCCAGTCAATCATTCCGTAGCACCTAGTAGTCAAATACTCGCATTTCGGAACATCAACTCAATCGAGATTGTCGGATAAGCTAGCAGTTCAGAATGAGCATTCGCACAACTAGTCGGTTGTTCTCCAGGGTGGTTCTATTTGGAGGAGCAGGTGCAGCTGCTGCTCTCGCGGCTTACATCCAATCCACGGGCCATGCCGACCCTCCAAAGAACCTTCCCAGTACGTGCCACGGTGTGGCTCGACAGTACTACCAGTCTTGCATTGTTCCGCGTGCATTCGCGATGCATACGCCTGATTGTACGTTCGGTGGCATCCTCGTGTATCACATGTAAGTCTTTACGCAAACCGCTGGATGTAAAACTGAATGTTTCTCTTCTCCCCCTCCAGAGCTTTCCGACGAGGTTCCGTCGAGGCAGGTTCAGATGTCAGCTCTCGCTGGTAGTAGCTCTGCGCGACCATTCGACATCCTCGTTATAGGCGGTGGTGCTACTGGTGCCGGCGTGGCGCTGGACGCTGCTGCACGCGGACTCCACGTGGCAATGGTGGAGCGAGACGACTTCAGTTGTGGCACATCCTCTAGAAGCACCAAGCTCGTGCATGGAGGTCAGTCCCCTCGAAAACCTGTGGAACAAAAACTTTAGTAAATCCCACTCAACGAGCTTTGGTTTCTGCTTTCTCACACGGTCCTTTTTTTCCATAGTCCTTGCACCAGGCAGCACATCACGTTCCTTCTCTACTGAACCCCCCTCCACACTTTTCTCCTTCGCTGCAGGCGTTCGTTACCTCGAAAAGGCATTCCTTCGCAGAGATCTCGCCCAACTTCGCCTCGTTAACGAAGCCCTGGCGGAGCGAGGCACCCTGATTCGCAACGCTCCGCACCTGGTCTGGCCGTTACCCACGCTCACGCCGTGCTACCATTGGTGGGAGGTGCCCTACTACTGGGCTGGGCTTAAAGCGTATGATCTTATAGCGGGGAAGAAGGTGCTGTACATGTCCCGCGTGGTCACGGCAGCGGAGGCTACTGGGATGGTTCCGACGCTTGCACACAAGGCACGAGGTGCGTTTCTTTGAGCGTTCCACTCTCTACTGGTCATTGTTGCAAACCTGCCTTATAAATCACCTGTGATGCAATGAACATATTGACGACGGTTGAGTTGCAACGACGTCCTTTCATACTCCCCACCCACCCCCTCCTCCCCAGACGCCCGCACGCTGAAGGCGGGAGTGCTGTACTACGATGGGCAGATGGACGACGCGCAGTTGAAGCATCACCTGCAAAGCCCCCCTCCTTTTCCCCTCATTCCTCTCCCTCGTCCTCCCTCTCTTCCCCCAGACGGTCGCACATTGAAAGCCGGAGTGTTGTACTACGATGGACAGATGGACGACGCGCGGCTGAACCTCGCCCTGGCCACCACTGCCGCGCGCGCAGGCGCTGTCGTGCTCAACCACGCGAGCGTGTCCGCGTTAAAGACAGACCCGACAGGGCGAGTGGAGGGCGCCGTGGTGAAGGACGAGCTGACGGGGAAGCAGGTGGACGTGCGCGCCAAAGTGGTTGTGAATGCCACAGGCGCTTACTGCGATAGGTGAGAGTGGAGGTGGGAGGTGGGAGAAGGGGGAATGGGAGGGGGGAATGGGCGAGAGGAGGGCGCCGTGGTGAAGGACGAGCTGACGGGGAAGGAGGTAGACGTGCGCGCGAAAGTGGTGGTGAACGCCACAGGCGCTTACTGCGATAGGTGAGAGTGGGGGGGGGCAGGTGAGGGCTGAAAGGTGAGGAGGTGAAAGGTGAGGAGGTGAAAGGTGGCATAATGCTTGTGAACAAGAGAGGGGGAATTGGGAGGGAGAATCGTGAAAAAAATGGAAAAGACACACCGAGGTTGACGTTCATTGTGGAACACAAGAGAGCTGTGCATCAGAAACGGGAAATGAGAAAAAATAGGAGGATTTCTTTACGGCTTTCAAATGTAGGAACACATCTATATCACCACGCTGAACCCACTTCCACTTCCCCCAAACCGAAACAAACTTTGTCGTTTGGCCGATATCAACACGCCTCTCGCCGTCCTCGCTTCCCACCCACTTTGTTCTCCCCGACTTCATACCCGGAGGCGCCTCAGGCAGCTCGTCAGGCTCACAGTGTAAAACTTGTTTGAAATCTCCTCTTCCCTTCTCTCCCCCTCCCCCACCCACACCCCCCCTTCCCCCATCCTCCTCCCCCCTTCCCCCTTCGCCCTTCTCTTCCCCGCACCACCACTTCCTTCCCTGAACAGCATTCGCCGTATGGCAGACCCCAACACTTCGCTGGCCGTTCTTGCTTCCTCCGGCTCTCACGTTGTCCTCCCCGACTTCTACCTGGGAGCCGCCTCTGGCAGCAAGTCAGGCTCGCAATCCACCTCACTTCACACCTCAATACCTACCCAAACCCCCCTCTCTCCCATGAAACCCAAACAGCGTTCGCCGTATGGCAGACCCCAACACTCCGCTGGCCGTTCTTGCTTCGTCCGGCTCTCACGTTGTCCTCCCCGACTTCTACCTGGGAGCCGCCTCAGGCAGCACGTCAGGCGCAGGGGCAGGCACAGCCAGCGGCAGCGGCGGCGGCGGCGGAAACGTGGGTCTGCTTATACCGAAGACGGCGGACGGGAGGGTGATGTTCATGCTGCCGTGGCTGGGGCGGGTGGTGGCGGGGACGACCGATGCGCCTTCAGAGGTGGTGGATGTGCCGGTGCCAACAGAGAAGGAGGTTCAGTTCATCGTGGATACGCTCAGCAACTACCTGAATGTGGATGTGAGTATAGCGAGGGCAACTTTGCGGACCTGGGTGTGAGTGATTGGATTGCATGTGTGTCACAATTCAATGGGCGTGTCTCTAAAGGTGGTGGATGTGCCTGTGCCCACGGAAAAGGAGGTTCAGTTTATCGTGGATACGCTGAGCAACTACCTGGATGTGGATGTGAGTGATTGGATATGATATTGTATGAGTGTGATTCCGCAACTACTGATTCCCTGGGGAGGGTGGTGTCTGGAACGACAGATGCACCTTCAGAGGTGGTGGATGTGCCTGTTCCCACGGAGAAGGTGGTTCAGTTTATTGTTGATACGCTCAGCAACTACCTGGATGTGGATGTGAGTGAAGTTTGATATGATATTGTATGAGTATGATGCCGCAACTGATTCCCTGGGGAGGGTGGTGGCTGGGGCGGGTGGTGGCGGGAACGACAGATGCGCCTTCAGATGTGGTGGATGTGCCTGTTCCCACGGAGAAGGAGGTTCAGTTCATCTTGGATACGCTGAGCAACTACCTGGATGTGGATGTGAGTGATTGGATTTCACGTGGATGAGTGGATTTGATATGATTCTCATGGGGCAATGGGCCTGCTAAAGGGGTGGTGGATGTGCCCTATTCTCACAGCGTAACCTCTGGTGGATGGGCCTGCTAAAGGAGGTCTACACTCTCCGGTTAGGTCCGGAGCATGTGTCAAATCACACCTAAAGCACTCTACCTTGTTGCCTGCTTTCCTCTTTTGGTAACCATGCCATTTACAGGTGCGCAAAGAAGATGTCTTGTCTGTGTGGGGCGGGCTCCGCCCTCTCCTGCGGAAAGGGCTCAAAACGAAGACACCCGCACAAGAAAAGGGTGAACCCGAGGGAAGTGCGGCAGGAACAGGAAAGCCGGAGGAGGTTGAGACAGAGGAGGGGAAGCAGACGGAAGGCAGCAAGGAAGATACATCGAATGTAGTCAGAGAGCACACAGTGATGGTGGAGGGAGGCACACTCGTTACAGTCACAGGCGGCAAGTGGACCACTTACAGGAGGTGAGTGTAACTGTTTTTACCTACCTGTATTAATAACAGTTTGCTGCATTTAAAAGGTGCAATTCAACCCTCTCGTCCTTTCTGTCTCGTAGCTCAACCCCCTTTCGAAATAGCACATTCACCAATCTTACCCTTCGCACATCTTTGAGGCGCCTAAAAATTCACCTATCTTACCTTTCGCACGTCCAGCATGGCAGAGGACACTGTCAAGTTCAACAGAGTCATGTGAGTCGGCAACGGCTCTCAGTCGAGTTCGTTTGTTTCACAAATTCCCACTCTCTCTCCCTCTGTTTTTTCACACACTCTCTCTCCCAACCCCAGTATGGCAGAGGACACGGTCAACACAGCCATTCGAGTCGGCAACCTCACAGCACCAACCACCACCAGCACCCCCACCCCTTCCAGCACCAGCAGCAGCAACGGCAGCAGCAGCGCCCTCGCCCTGCCCCCCAGCGTCACGGAGCATCTGCCCCTCACAGGAGCAGCTGGCTTCACCCCTGCCCTCTTCTCCCAGCTGGCTCAGAACGCCGATGTGCTGCGGGTGGCTCCTGACCGCCGGATCCTCCCGTACCGGCTAGATTCCGCGGTGGTGTTCCACCTGGTGCGGTCGTATGGGACGAATGCGAGCAAAGTGAAGGAGATTGCAACTGTAAGTAACTTGCCATTTTGGACTCCACCTTGCTGGGATATGAAGCATAGCTCATCCCCTGGTAAGTTATATATTAGATACAGATTCCAACAGAGATAAGGCACTGAAAGTTCATCGTGGTTTGAGGGTTCATATTGCCTGGTCCGTTGTCCACTGTGCATTGCCCACGATGTTGTCTCCTCATTTTAGCCCTTGTGCACTTACATATTCTCAAGCCTTCCCCACTGTCTGTTCTTTCCCATCCCCGTCAGACTGAGCTCCTGGCTGAGCGCCTTGCCCCAGGTTTCCCCGACATTGAGGCTGAAGTGATATTTGCTGCCCGGAACGAGTTCTGCGAGACTGCTGCAGACTTCCTGTGCCGCCGATCTCGTATCGCCTTCCTAGATGCTGATGCTGCAATGCATGCCTTGCCACGTGTTGTGAAGCTATTGGCGAAGGAGCATGGTTGGGACAGCAAGAGGGAGAAGCAAGAATTGGAAGCAGGGGCGAAAAGTGTGAACCAGTTCCGGGCAGTGTCCATAGCTCCATCATCACAATGAGGCACGCAGTGGATATTTTTGAGACGCTTGGGATCGCAATTTGCCTAGACAGTCCGTCACAGCGTTGAGATTGTAGAAACTGCATTCGTTTCATATAATTAATTCCATGTAGTACCTGTAAGCAGTTTACCTAATTCTTTGCCCCATCACTACCGAACTGTACCGCTGCCCAATTCATTATCGCATTGTTACTCCTGGCTGGTCTGTCGGTTTTTGAACGGGCAAATGAGTAGCTACTCTCCGCACTTTTCCCGCCATTGCTCGTGGTTTGGAACTCGGTATTCTCGGGGGACCTCCGCCAACGTCGCCCAGGGGTTCCGTTCGCGCTCTGCGACCAAAATTCTCTGAGCATTCTTCGCGACCCAAATTACCTTGCGAGATCCCTGCGACTCAGATTCTTACTTGCATTGCATTCCCTGCGACCATAATTCTCCGGGCATTCGTCGGACTCTATTCAAATTGCGATGATCGCCCTGGCATTCCGCGTCGCTGCTATCTGATACTCGAATGTCTGGTCCCCCTAAAACCGGAATCAACACAGGAAACCGCTTGAACCGTTCATACCGATTAAAAACGTACCACAAACCACAGAAAACCCAGCAGCGCACTGCCACCTGTGCTTCTGTATTCCCTTGCCCTCCGAGCAGTCATTGGGCCTTAGGGCGCGTGTGATTTTTGATTTTGCCATAAGTTTATGTTTTTGACTCGATTTAAGCATTTGAACATGGCTCGACTTTGAGTATTGGCAATGTTCGAACCGCAGGTGAACTTGCTTGTAGATTCACAATCACACACGAAAGTGCGAATTTGCAGGTTCGAGCTTACAGGGGGGGGACCGAGCCGCCTATAGGGTGCATAGGTTACCCGGTGTTCTTCTATTGACAGCGCGAAAGAGTCGCGAGCTTCGCTGGTTCCTCGTACGTGCCTGAAACCACACACGTTCGGTTCAGTGTGCTACACAAAGTTTGTGCATATATTCGAATCTTGTTCACATTTGTATGTTCGCACCTGGTACTCTTGAAATTGTAGTCACCATTGGCGAAATCTTCCGCGAACATTGGCGAAACTGGTTACCACCTAAAGTTCGACCTTAAATACGAACCCCAAAAAAAATCACACGCGCCCTCAGTACATCTTCTGGTAGTCTGCTTCATTTCTCCATGCGCTTCTGTGTTCGAACTCTTCGCAAGTAGACTGTCTCGCCGTTTGATCGCCGTTTCATTTTACTCGTCTCAGCCTCTGCAGAGCCAATCCTCGCTGTTTGATCGCTCTCTGATCGCTCAATCACCGCTCTTTTATAGTGCTCTGGTCGTGAATGTCGCACGAGTTTGCTTCTTCCAACGACGACGCTTCCACCGTACTGCTCGCGAGCTCCGCGCGAATCTCTTTCCCCGACGACCTCCCACTTCCGGAGTTCCTGTCTGCTCCGTCCGACAATCAACTCGGCGTTAACGTTGACGAAGCTCCTGTCGACGCATTCGGAAACTTGGAAGATCTTATCGTTGAAGAGAGCTCATCGTCTGCTGCTGCGGCTACGGTTCCTGCGGGAAGTCTTACCGCCGACGGCGCTGATTGGATCCTGAACTTGGATTTAACGGACGAGACGAGCCTGATCGCCGAGGCCAATCTGGTTGACGAGCTGACTGCTGTTGAGCTGACTGCAGGGGAGCTGACTGCGACCGAGCTTGCCGCGAACGACGTGAGCCAGATCGCAGTGAAACCGGACTTCGGGAAGGAGACTCGCGTGATTCTCGAGAGCAAACTCAGCGATGCATGCCTTGGCGATGCGCTCGGCGATGCTGGCGACTTCCTTCTCGATGCGTTCCATGCTACTGTTGGCGAGGTCGATTTCTCGTCGCTGGACGTCGCAGGCGAGGAGTTCCCGGATCTTCTCGTCGAACCCGCCTTGGGAAACCACGTCGCGTCGCAGCCTGAGGTGACACCTCAGCAATGCCACGTGGCGATTCCCCCTCCGCCGCCGGCGCTGCAGCCAATGCGCATCTCTCTGCTGCAGTTGCCCCCCGGCCTCGTTCTGCGCCGGTGTGGCGGCAGCGGAACGCAAATCCCCTCCGCTCCTGTTGCTCTTGTCGCTCCGTCTGCTGCTCCTGTCGCTCCGTCTGCTGCTCCTGCCGCTCCGTCTGCTGCTCCTGGTGCTGCTGTTGCTATGTCCCAAGAGCGACTGACCCCTGACGAAGCCCCTCTCGGAAAGCGGAAGCGGGACCTGGAGCTTTCACCTGCAGCAAGTGGCGAATTCCAGCAGCAGCAGCAGCAGCCGATGCAGATGCAGATGCAGGAACAGCAGCAGCAGCCATCCAAAGTTAGGCGCGTGGACCCTCCTTCCCCTGCGTCCGCGGTTTTAGCAGCAGATGAAGAGCTGGACGTCGACTCGGGATCAGAAGAGGGGGTTCTTTGGGAGGCTCTGGAGCAGCAAATGAAACCCGCCACGTCAGATGAAACGCCGTGTCAGTGCCTCGCGTGTCAGTGCAAGTCAGAGGAGGACAGGATGTTCCTGCTGACTGGGAAGCGGACGGCGAAAGCTGGTGCTGGTGCTGCTGTGAGTAAGAAACGGTCTGGATTGAAGAGGAAAGGTCGTTCTATGGGTGACAGGAACGGTGTTGATGCCATGGCTGATGTTAACGAGATATTGGGGGAGCTTGCACAGATTCCGCTGCTGCTGGATTTGACTGATCTTCCAGAACTTCCGGAAGGCGATTTGGGTGAGTGTAATACGTTCTGGGAAGGAGCTGACGTGGCAGTGATTGGAGGTGATGGTGGTGATGGTGGTGATGGTGGTGATTGTGGGTTGGAGGAAGTGGAAGGAAAGCACAGCTCTGGATTTGGAAAGCGGTTGAGTCAAATGGATGTGACTGAAGTGGTGGATCAGTGCAGGGTGTGGCTCCATGAGGCACTGCAGAGCCCTGGGTGTGACTCTATTGATGTGGATTTCTGCTTGAAGGTCGTGGGAGAAGTGAAGGGAGAGACAGTGGAGGGAGCCAAGCCGATGGAGCTTGTGTTAGAGGATGGAGTTCCTCTTGAGTGCTCCATTGAATAGATGTTAAATATGCACGTACATTGTAGTGATAGTTTAAATGGTAGTGGGCTGGAAAGTGTTCTGTATTGTGTCTAACTATAAGAGTAGTATACGTATTTTAAATTGTAAATGCCACTCACTGTATCCGTTCTCTGACATAACCAGTTCAATTCGCTTCCCACCAACATCGTGACGTTCACGGCACCATCAAGGGTACATAACCAAAACACTTCATGATAGCTCCAAATCCAACCCAACCCATCCAGCCACTATACGAATCGCTCCAAAAACGTAACGAACCGAGCTCAGCCGCATTGGAACGATCTTTTGGGACGCCTCAAATCTCGTGATGGCAACCTCTAGGGAATTCTTCTGACACTGCGGAGGCATGAAAGGATGATCACTTCCACATATCATGGCGGCAGGATGGATGACTAGTCTTACTTTGATGGTGCTTGGGTTAGAGAAAGCGAGGAAGGCATATCGTACCTCGAAAGTATTGAATTTCTCCCTGCCTTAGTATCTTCTTCGGAAGTTGATCCTTCGCATCTTCGAGTTAATGTGGTGTACAACTCTCCGATATTGAGTGGTTGGCTTCGTTATCAGACCCCTCAGCTTGTTACCATTCCAGCAAGTTATCGTCGATTATCATGTCTTAAACCACAGTCTGCAGCGGAGGAAGTCTAGTTGAGGAAAGACTGCATCATGCTGATTGAAACATGATATGCTCGTCTCATGATCAGCGTATTCTGGGACCCCCAACCAGTCCACGTTTGATCAGTCCTGGCCGTACGGGCTGAACTGCATGCGGCCAGTGTGCAGATTCTTAATACTCCCGTTGTCAGTAGCAGCACACCCTCAAGATTGGCCATGATTGGTCACGCACTACGGATTCGCTACAAGCTGTTTCGGTATCGCCGAGCCGTGGCAGCGTCGTTGCTTTAGTGTAATCGTGAAGCCGGAACGCTGATACACTCAGCATGGCTCCATCATCCGGCGGAAAGCGGGAAACGGATGAGGGGGGGTCCGGAAGGGGAGCCGGGGGGAGCGGAAGGGGTTCAGGAGGGGGGAATCTTCCCCCTGAGGCGGCGGAGAAGCAGCTGCAGGCGCGGTGGGAGCGGATAGAGGAGGCGCTGGGGGAGCTTCCGGAAGATGACGAGGCGGAGGAGAAACTGATGGCGCTAAAGGGGCAATGGTAGGGAAAAAAAGGATCGAGTGCTTGTGATTATGTAGGGGAGGGGGGATTTGTAAGGACGGAGGAGAAATTGATGGCTCTCAAGGGGCAATGGTAGGGACAGAAGCCTGCGTGCTTGTGATTGCGTCTTAAGGGTAGTGGTATCAGTGGTATCAGCGGTATCGTGGGTTGTGGTACCGGGTGTAGTAGGGTGAGTATTTTGGGGGTTATTGGGGCCTCGTCACAGGGAGGGACTGGGGAATGCTGACTACCACTCCAGCCCGTCACCACTCTCTCACCCAGCCCCTCCTGGAGCCCTTCTATCACTACCACTCAGGCCCACCCAATTCAGAACCCCCCATTTCCCCTCTACAACCCTGCTCCCTCCCCCTCCTTTCCCCCAGGTTCACTGACGCCTTTGCCTTCCTCTCCGCACGCCCCCCCTCCACCCACCTGTGGTGCCGCCACCGCGCCCTCACCCAGCCCCTCCTTGAGCCCTTCTACCACTACCACTCCGGCCACCCAATTCAGAGTCGAAACCCCCCGTTTCGCCTGTACTGTACTGCCCCTCTCCCCCCTTTCCCAACTCCCCTCCCAGGTTTACCGATGCCTTTGCCTTCCTCTCCGCGCGCCCCCCCTCCGCCCACCTGTGGTGTCGCCGCCGCGCCCTCACCCAGCCCCTCCTCGAGCCCTTCTACCACTACCATTCCAGCCCGCCCGATTCAGAACCCCCCATTTCCCCTTGTCCCGCCATCCCTCCCTTGTGCCCACCAGGTTCACTGACGCCTTCGCCTTCCTCTCCTCGCGCCCCCCCTCCGCCCACCTGTGGTGTCGCCACCGCTCCCTCACCCAGCCCCTCCTCGAGCCCTTCTACCACTACCACTCCGGCCCGCCCGATTCAGAACCCCCCATTTCCCCTTGTCCCGCCATCCCTCCCTTGTGCCCACCAGGTTCACTGATGCCTTCGCCTTCCTCTCCTCGCGCCCCCCCTCCGCCCACCTCTGGTGCCGCCACCGCACCCTCACCCAGCCCCTCCTGGAGCCCTTCTACCACTACCACTCCGGCCCGCCCGACACGCGCGCCACGCTGCACGCGCTCTGGGCGCGCATGGCTGGGGAGATGCGCGCCTGCACGCGCTGTGTGGCGAGATACCATGCAGCCAAGAGAGTGTATGAGGAAGAGTATGTGGAGGAGGTGGTGGGGCCTGTGTTGGAGACGCTGAGGAGGCTGGATGAGGAGAGGGTGGCGGGGGAATTGAGGGCGCTGGTGGGTCGGGCGGGCGGAGGGACCAGTGGTGGTGTTGGAGCCGGTTCTGGTGGTGTTTTCAGCGGTGCTGGGGGTGTTTCGAGCGGTGTTGGGAGCAGTGGCAGCGGAGGGCAGGTGTTAGACGCGGAGAGGGACGGGCCGGGGGTGATTTGCCTCATGTTCGAGTTGCTCATGTACCCGCGTGTGCTGGAGGACGCAGAGGTGTTTTCCCTCGCTGGCCCAGTGCTGGTGCTCGTGGAAAGACACTTCGACTTATCCCTTACCCCGGGACAGCGATACCCGGTGAGTCAGTGTAAAGGGAGAGGGATGGGCCGGGGGTGATCTGTCTCATGCTCGAGCTGCTCATGTACCTGCGTGTGCTGGGGGATGCCGAGGTGTTCGCTCTTGCCGGCCCTGCTCTGGTGCTCGTGGAAAGGCACTTTGACCTCTCACTCACCCCGGGACAAAGGTACCCGGTAAGTGACTGATCTGCTTCATGTTTGAGCTGCTCATGTACCCGCGTGTGCTGGAGGATGCAGAGGTGTTCGCCCTAGCTGGCCCTGCTCTGGTGCTCGTGGAGAGACACTTGGACCTCTCTCTCACCCCAGGAAAGCGATACCCAGTGAGTAATGCCTGTAGTACTGCCATCAACCTGCTTCTTATTGTCACCGCTTCTCTCGTATTTCTTCCCAATTTTTATAAGCCCCCCACACCTCCTCCCACCCCACCCCTCAGGGTCTGTACCATCTCATGCTTCACCCCAACAAGGACACCCGTGCGATTGTATATACTCTAGCCAAGCCCCTCGGCCTCTTCAAGTGCGTTTACTTGATCCCATCTCTGTCCCTTCATCTCCTAGACATTTGAGCCGCCTCAAAAGCAAACCTTTCCATCTCCTTGACATTTGAACAGCTTTGAAAGCAAACCGTTCGGCATGTACCTTGTCGCTGTCTCTCTCCCCTCCCCACCGTTAACAGAACAGCAGCAGATTTGAGGCCCATCGACCCTCTGTTGCAGCAGTGCATGCACGCACTTGAGTATGACCTCTTTGATACAGGCACACCCGCTACTGGCACGGGAGCAGGCTCGGGAGCAGGCTCGGGAGCAGGCACAGGAACAGGCTTGGGAAGAGCCGGTGCTGCTGGTAACGCCACTGCCCCTGCGAGTGCGCAAGGGGGAGCAGGAGTTGGGGGTGGGAGGGAAGGAGGCGAGCGGCCTCGTGTGATGCACTCAAAGGAGGACATGTGGCAGGGGCTTCTCACCATGTGAGTGTGGTGTGGGGATTAGATTCGGTGTCGTTTAGAATATACATGAATCATGCTGAGAGGGGGGGGGGGAGCGAGTGGCCTCGTGTGGTGCACTCAAAGGAGGACATGTGGCAGGGGCTTCTCACCATGTGAGTGTGGTGTGGGGATTAGATTCGGTGTCGTTTAGAATATACATGAATCATGCTGAGAGGGGGGGGGGGCGAGTGACCTCGTGTGGTGCACTCAAAGGAGGACATGTGGCAGGGGCTTCTCACCATGTGAGTGTGGTGTGGGGATTAGATTCGGTGTCGTTTAGAATATACATGAATCATGCTGAGAGGGGGGGGGGGCGAGTGGCCTCGTGTGGTGCACTCAAAGGAGGACATGTGGCAGGGGCTTCTCACCATGTGAGTGTGGGTGTGCATTCACATTTCCATGTTAGTGTGTGTGTGCTTTCAAGGTGACTTGAAGTCACCACGCGCTGCTCGCCATTCCATCCCTTCCCAATGGCGCCACCTACTCTGAACGAGGGGGTGATGGAGCACGACCCTGCGTGTGCGTGTGCGTGTGCGTGTGCGTGTGCATGTGCGTGTGCGTGTGCGTGTGCGTGTGCGTGTGCGTGTGTTCTCCCTGATGGCTCATGGCTCTCCTCTCCCATCCGCCCATTCATTCCCTCCCCCATCCAATGTTCGCAGCCTATCGCTCATGGCGCCACCAGCACTGGACGAGGGGGTGGTGGAGCGCTACCCTGCCTGTGTGCTCTCCTCCTCCCTCATGCCGATCGCCTTCCCCACCTGCAACTCTTCAACCTCTCTCAACCTCTCCCAACCTCTTCCAACCCCCATCCCCTTCGCAGCCTATCCCTCATGGCCCCTCCAGCTCTGGATGAGGGGGTGGTGGAGCGGTATCCTGCTTTCGTGAGCATAGTGCTGAACCACGTGGGGGAGGACACTTCCGTCTTCCGACCCGCCCTAGCTTGTCTTCGAATGATGCTGCAAGTCACAGGTGGGTGGGTAGAACGGGTGATCCTGTTTTTGAATAAGGCTTTTTGAGAGTCCCTGCTCCACCACCAACCCACTCACTGTCCCCCACCTCCCCACTCCCCTGCTGCTCACCTCCCTACCTCCCTGCTGCCCACTTTCCCAACTCCCTTCTGCCAACCTCCCACCTCCCACATACCGCCCCCAACCCCCCTCTCCCCCACCCGCCACCCCCCCTCTCTTCCCTCACCCGCTGCATTCTCTTCCCTCCAGGCTACAAGCTCTGGCTGCACTCGGCCTTCCCACCCGGTGTCGTCCGCAACACACTCATCTCGCAGTGCTTCAACTCCTCCCCCTTCTCCTCCGTTTCACCTTTCCCCCACGCTAACTCTCCCAGGCTACAAGCTCTGGCTGCACTCGGCCTTCCCACCCGGTGTCGTCCGCAACACACTCATCTCGCAGTGCTTCAAATCCTCCCCCTTCTCCTCCGTTTCACCTTTCCCCCCCGCTAACTCTCCCAGGCTACAAGCTCTGGCTGCACTCGGCCTTCCCACCCGGTGTCGTCCGCAACACACTCATCTCGCAGTGCTTCAACTCCTCCCACGAGCCCACACACAAGCTCCTCCTCGACCTCCTGCCACCCTTCCTGCAGGTCCATCCAAATCGTGCATGTCGTTCCATCCATCCTTTCGTCCCACCCATTCTCCGCATGCGTCCCATCTTTTCCATCGGAACCATCCATTTCCCCTTCATCTTGTTTGTTTTTCCGCTGCCTGCTTCGAGCCACATCCAGTCTGTGTGGAGCAACTGAACTCAATCAATGGCTCTTTCAGCTGCCCATCAGCTCCTCCTCCTTATTGCAAGCAAGCTACTCATTCTCAAGCCCTTTCCCCTTTTCTACTTGTTGGAGTCTTTTGAGCCGTTTCTCTTCCCTTCCTCCAACCCGATACAAACAGTCAGTGGAATCATTGGAGACAGAGGAGTTTGAGAGGCAGTGCCGCAGCATCCTCTTCTTCCTGCTCATCCAGCTGCCCAACAGCCGTAACTTCAGCACCACCACCATCAAGATCGCTCGCCGAGTAAGTGCATACCAGTCCCTTTCCTGCGTGCATTGCATGCCCTTCTCGTCGCAGCATCCTCTTCTTCCTGCTCATCCAGCTGCCCAACAGCCGCAGCTTCACCACCACCATCAAGATCACTCACTCACGTGCACCAAGTTGGTCTCCCGTGTTTTTTTTTTTTGGTTTGCGAAGCAACCTATTACGATCGATTTGGCCAGTTTTTTTTTTGTTTTTTTTTCACATTTTCACATTTTATTTATTTAAATAAAATATGAAAATAAAAAAACTTGATGCACTAATTTCTAGCTGTGTAACTTGTAGGAGGTCCTGTCTAGTTCAATTATACTAACGTGTTGGTACTGATTTTTTGGACAACTAGGTTGTTTCTGTGATTTACTTTGTTGTGATTTACTACCGTATAATATGTACATAATATGAAGAGATGAATATAATGATTAGTGAATGTAGATGAATAGAATGATATTACCGGTATATAAAATACGATATATTGTGTAAGATATGATATGATAAATGATAAATGCATGCCTATGTTCGATACGAATAATGCTTATCTGTTACTGACATTCCATGATGCATATTTATAATGATAAAGATGCGTGAAAGCTAACGACCCAAAAACTATGCTACCGCATCCCCTGCCTAGCATGAGGGTGAGCTGATAGCATAATCTTTGAACAATCAGCAGTCACATGAAACAACACAATCCGTGAACTCTAAAAAAGATGGTCGAATCTATCATCTCCAGTTCAAGTGGGCTCCCGACAGGCGCGCCAATGAACCTTCTAATGAAATGATAGACCTGATTCACCTTTTTAAAACCCACAGACATGCATTGTTATTGCAATGATGGTATAGGTAAATGAAATGAATAGATGCACACACGCACGCACGCACGCACGCACGCACGCACGCACGCACGCACGCACGCACGCACGCACGCACGCACGCACGCACGCACGCACGCACGCACGCACGCACGCACGCACGCACGCACGCACGCACGCACGCACGCACGCACGCACGCACGCACGCACGCACGCACGCACGCACGCACGCACGCACGCACGCACGCACGCACGCACGCACGCACGCACGCACGCACGCACGCACGCACGCACGCACGCACGCACGCACGCACGCACACACACACACATACATACTAGACACATACACACACGCAATAAAACCTACAACTTAATAAAAATACAAGGCACATGAGTGGACACAAATTAACGAGTTCTACAAGCCGCCACTAGTACGGTATCTTCCAGCTTTCCACATTGTGACTTGATTTTCTGAATGTTAGAGCAAGCTGAAATACAGAACAAATGGGGAAAAAAGGGAACAGGGGAGAGGTGAAGGACATTGATTAAAGCTGAAATACAGAACAGATGGGGAAAAGAGGGAACAGGGGAGAGGTGAAGGACATTGATTAAAATTGAAGAACGAAAATTCGAAATACAACAAGTCTCAAAAGTGGCACCGTACATCACGTATTTAACGTGACTATATCTGCTACGATGTACTTATGAAACACAAATTCAAGAAAGACTTAGAGAGGCGACGACGATCTAAAACGAATACATAAATTGAGAACGGCAATGATGAAATAAGAAACATACGGTTGGAAAGAAATAGGGCAAAAAACATTATGATCAAAAGGAATAACGACAACGAAAGGAAAAACAACGAATACATAAATGTAGAGCGACGACAATGGACGGAGAAACGTAGAAAATAAGAAGAGAGGCGTATTACAACAAGCAGAGAGAGAGGGAAATAGGGGCGTAAATAAGTTAATGTACGCAAGCGGGGCAAAGAGGGAAACAAACATAACGAACAGGAGGAGGAAATGAGAAAAATCGATAGAAAGAGAGGGGGTCTAAGGTAGAAGACAAAGGTATACGACATTTAAGAAATGACAAACCAGAAGCAAAAAGCGGATTGAAGAACATTAGGAGGAAAGGAAATTGAAGAACAAAAGCGGATACCAGAGGCAGAAGAAACCGAAGTAGAAAGAATGAAGGAAAGGCCTAGATTGGACAAATTGAGCTACATGCCCTAATTCGTCTAGCAAGCTAGGTCGAAATGGTCTCCATAGTAAAAACGTTTAAGAGAAAGATAGGAACATATGGAGAGCAGAAAGAGTAAAGTAACAGAAACGAAGGAACGAAACATATCATGCAAAAGGCAAGAAGGCGAAAGAAGAAAAAAAGAATCAAATATGAACTAATGAGATGTTCTTTATCTCTTCCTTTCTCGCTCTTTCAAACAAAGTCGGTAACAAAAGAAGAGAAGCCTAAGGAGATAAGAAAGCGAAGATGATGATGATAAGATGAGATCTAGGCGAACATGATGATGATAAGAAAGCACCCATATCTGGTTTAGTCTAGTATGTAACATCTGACTTAGATCTAAATTATAGATAAGGTTCTTCTCACCAGTGGCATAAAAATGGAGTAGATGACGCATACGTAGCAGGCCACCTAAAGGAAGAACGCATAAGATGATAAAAACGAAAGAACGAAGGAAGGAAAACCACATGTATTGAACGGATTAACAAGAAAAATGTGAACATGGTTAGAACTAGATGTGGAAATGATGACATGGCTTCAAGAGAGACGGACGAAAATCGAATAAATGGAAAGGAAGCACTAGCTAAAAACGACCTAACTGTTAGCAGCCCAAAAAAACCGATCGAGTTGCTAAGCTAATATGGCTAAGACATCTAGATTATACCTAACAGCAACATCTAACGAGCTATATTACGGGTCATCGGTAGTTACGATCCACCACAAACTGAGTTTAGTCTAGCGTAAAACATCTAACTTAGTACAGTTAAAGCAGGGTACTTCTCACCACGGGTAGGTTGGTGGAGCGTGACTAGCGGCCGTTTTAGTTTACAATCAAGCTTCATTGGCGAGAAGGGAGGGAGGAAAGGAAGAAACAGAAACCCTAAGGCACCGCTGATTGCGTCGCGAGACAAACGAAAATAAAATATTGTGACGAAGACAAAACAGTTGTTGGCGCAGTCGATTGAAGTCCATCAATGATTAGAATGGTCAAAAGTTTGATTCCTGCAAACTCCTTTCAAACCTTAACCAAACACCATAAAGTGGCTTAGATTTCATGCTAATTTCTACATGTTGTCATTTTTTTTTTTTTTTTTTACATATGAGAAATGCTTCGCAACCCTAAGACGATTTCGTCGCCTCTTGTTTTTTTGTTTTTGTTTTTTTTTTTTTTTTTTTTTCACTTTCGCTTTGATTCATGTTTGATGCTGCAGAAAATGGATCGATGAACTTAAGGCACAATAGGAAAGAAGAAAATATCCTTAATAGGAAGATGGTACAAGTCTTAAAGACTAGAGTAAGGTCCTTGTCCAAGGATGAGTTCTAGAGAAGTGGGAAGCCACATATATGTGGCTGAATTCTTGAGGCTAGCTGTTGCACCTCAAAGCTGAAGGCAAGGCTAGCCAACCTTGCCAAGCTAGCAACTGAGGCCACATGTTGCACATGTGAGCCAGGCTGGAACAACTGCCTACATGGCAGCATGTGGCACACCATAGGGGCCAGCAAGGTGAGTATGGGATGAGTATGGCAAAGCCAACTGTGACCACACTTCACTGTGGGTGAGTGTGGTGGAGTGTGGGAATGTCATGTTGGGCATAATGAGAAGAGAATGCAACTACTGAGAGTTAAACCCACATCTCTAAGACCAAATGTGAAACTCTACCCACTGGGACATACTTGTTGCACAACAGATGCCAATTTCATCTCCGCTCTCCTCTCCCCCCGCCCCCCCCCCCACTCCCCCTTCATCCCAACCGCATTGATATTCTGTCGCCTTCCTGCTGGCCCCCCTCCCCCCTTCCGCTCTACCCCATCAGATCGCATTCAGCCTCATCCTCCACTCCTACCTACTCACTCCGCCTCTCCCTCCCACTGACTGTGCTGACATCTGGGGGCCACCCCTCGTGCGGGCACTCAAGGACACATCTCTCCCCGACCCCCTCCGCTCACCATGTTGTGTTGGTCCTATGGTATGGTATGTCACCCTCCTCATTCTTCCTTCCCTGGTCCCCTTTCCCTTTTTCCTTCCCCCTTTCCCTTCCCCCTTTCCCTTCCCTTTTCCCCTTTCCCCTTTTCCTTTTCTCGTCCCGTCCTCCTCCACCCCATCAGATTGCATTCAGCCTCATCCTGCACTCCTACCTCCTCACCCCGCCTCTCCCACCCACTGACTGTGCTGACATCTGGGGCCCACCCCTCGTGGGGGCAGTCAAGGACGCATCTCTCCCGGACCCCCTCCGCCTGCCAGCCATCCACCTCGCGCAGGCAATCATCACTGCCGATGCTGCCGCCCTCACCTCCCTCGCGCTCGCTCGAGCCTTCGCGAGTTCAGGTCCAGGCGCAGGTTTGGGCTTAGGTTTGGGGTTTGCTGCGACAGGTGCTCCGAGTGTGTTTTCGCGGTCGTTGGTTTGCCCAGGGGATGGGGAGGAGGGAGGGCATGGAGGGCAGGGAGGGGAGGGAGGGGAGGGAGGGGAGGGAGGGGAGGGAGGCGGGGGTGGTGGTTCTGGTATTGCCGGTGCTGCTGACACCAGCACAGGCCACATCTCTTCTTCCTCCACCTCCTACCTCACCACCTCCTCCTCCACCTCATCCTCAATCTCGGAGGGTCTGCCTCAGGATCAGCTGGACAGGCTTGCTGAGGTGGCGGCAGCAGAGAGCGACAGGTGGCAGTGTGCTCCCGCGCTCTGGTTGGAGCTACTAGAGCGAACTCCCCCCCAGTGGTTACCAAAACCGTTACTCCGAGCAGCCGTTTGGGCGGCAGGGCATTTCTGCCTCTCTGCTTCTGCCGCTGCTGCTGCTGGTGCTTCTGTTTCCACTTCTGCTGGTGTTGCTGGGAGTAAGATCAGCACCCCTGTGGTTACCAGCAGCCCTGCGGTTACCAGCAGTGCGGTGGTTACAGCGGCTCTGCACTGGAGGTTGGCTCCTGGGGCTGGGGGAGGGGGGCGAGGGGCGAAGGCAGGGTGTGTGAATGCGGTGGCGGCAGCAGAACATGAGGAGGAATTAAGCGTCATTCTGCAGAGGTGAGTGGGGGGTGTACTCAATGTGCGTTCTGAATTGACTAAAAATCCTCTGCTCACGAAGGAACATTATAACGAGCTGACTTTTGAGTCGACTCGAAAGTCAGCTGAAAATCCTCTGCTCACGGAGGAACTGAGCGCGATTCGTATGAAGAAGTGTTTTGAGACTTCTCAAAACACTTCTTCATACACGTGTCTGAAAATTCTCCGCTCACGGAGGAACTGAGTGCCATTCTGCAGAGGTGGGTGGGTGGGTGTTTGTACTCCATTTCCTTCATTTTCCCCCCACCCCATCTGTTTTCCCCACGTTCCTTCCGTTTTCTTCCCACCCCATCCCCATCCTTCCCATTCATATTCCTCTCAGTCTCCCCCACTACTCCACCTACCTATTCCCCTCAATACCTCCTTCTTCCTCCTTTATCCCGTTCCCTCTCCTCTATCCCGTTCCTTCCCATGCCATGTGTCACTGTATCGCAGGAGCGTGTCCTCTTGCCTCGTCCAGATCAGAGGCTCCAATCGGCTCAAGCTGCTGACGTGGCATGCCAGCCTGGCAGAGCCTCTCATCTTCCTCCTCATCGATTCCCAGCTGGTCAGCTCCCTCCCCTCCTCTCCCCTTCTCCCCATCGCATTGCAATGGCTCCTGAGCTTGAATCTACCACCACCTCGCCTTCTTTTACCTGTCCCATGTGCGTCTCTCCCCCACTCCCACTCCTCTCCCCCCTCTACCCTTTCTCCCACTTTTGAGTCGACTCAAAAGTCAACTCCCCATTGCATTGCAATGGCTCCTGAGCTTGAATCTACCACCACCTCGCCTTCTTTTACCTGTCCCATTTTTGAGGCGCCTCAAAAGCTTGAATCTACCACCACCTCGCCTTCTTTTACCTGTCCCATTTTTGAGGCGCCTCAAAAGCTTGAATCTACCACCACCTCGCCTTCTTTTACCTGTCCCATTTTTGAGGCGCCTCAAAAGCTTGAATCTACCACCACCTCGCCTTCTTTTACCTGTCCCATTTTTTAGGCGCCTCAAAAGCTTGAATCTACCACCACCTCGCCTTCTTTTACCTGTCCCATGTGCGTCTCTCCCCCACTCCCGCTCCTCTCCCCCCTCTACCCTTTCTCCCACTCCTTCCCCCTCTCCCCAATCCCGCCCAACAGGGACTGTGAGAAAAGATGAAGAAGAACCGATGGTTTGATTAGAAAGCATGGGGGTGTACATAGTAGTGCTAGGATGGGTGGTTTGGTTGGGAATCTACCCAACATTATTGGCCTGCCCCCACCAATAAGTTGGGTTGAGGGATTATTGGGGGGACCAATAATGTTGACCAAGTGGTTCAACATTATTGGGGGGACCAATAATTCCCAACCCAACCTTGGGGGCCAAGGTTTGAGTCCCAACCCCCAACTAGGGTTAGCCCTAGTTCTACACCCAAACTAAGTTTGGGTGTCTATCTCTAACCTAAGCTTATAGGATTGATGTAGGTTATAATGAGGATGGTAATCTAACAAGGACATGGCTCGAGAGCTCCTCACATCGCTCTGCAGGGACCACCGAATCGACCACCAACTCGCCTTCCTCGCCGCCTCCCTTGTGCGTCCCTCTCCTCACTGTCCCCCCTCTACCCTTTCCCCCTCTTCCCAATCCAGCCCAACAGGGACATGGCTCGAGAGCTCCTCACATCGCTCTGCAGGGGCCACCGAATCGACCACCAACTCGCCTTCCTCGCCGCCTCCCTTGTGCGTCCCTCTCCTCACTGTCCCCCCTCTACCCTTTCCCCCTCTTCCCAATCCAGCCCAACAGGGACATGGCTCGAGAGCTCCTCACATCGCTCTGCAGGGGCCACCGAATCGACCACCAACTCGCCTTCCTCGCCGCCTCCCTTGTGCGTCCCTCTCCTCACTGTCCCCCCTCTACCCTTTCCCCCTCTTCCCAATCCAGCCCAACAGGGACATGGCTCGAGAGCTCCTCACATCGCTCTGCAGGGACCACCGAATCGACCACCAACTCGCCTTCCTCGCCGCCTCCCTTGTGCGTCCCTCTCCTCACTGTCCCCCCTCTACCCTTTCCCCCTCTTCCCAATCCAGCCCAACAGGGACATGGCTCGAGAGCTCCTCACATCGCTCTGCAGGGACCACCGAATCGACCACCAACTCGCCTTCCTCGCCGCCTCCCTTGTGCGTCCCTCTCCTCACTGTTCCCCCTCTACCCTTTCCCCCTCTTCCCAATCCAGCCCAACAGGGACATGGCTCGAGAGCTCCTCACATCGCTCTGCAGGGACCACCGAATCGACCACCAACTCGCCTTCCTCGCCGCCTCCCTTGTGTGTCCCTCTCCTCACTGTCCCCCCTCTACCCTTTCCCCCTCTTCCCAATCCAGCCCAACAGGGACATGGCTCGAGAGCTCCTCACATCGCTCTGCAGGGACCACCGAATCGACCACCAACTCGCCTTCCTCGCCGCCTCCCTTGTGTGTCCCTCTCCTCACTGTCCCCCCTCTACCCTTTCCCCCTCTTCCCAATCCAGCCCAACAGGGACATGGCTCGAGAGCTCCTCACGTCGCTCTGCAGGGACCACCGCATCGACCACCAACTCGCCTTCCTCGCCGCCTCCCTTGTGCGTCCCTCTCCTCACTGTCCCCCCTCTACCCTTTCCCCCTCTTCCCAATCCAGCCCAACAGGGACATGGCTCGAGAGCTCCTCACATCGCTCTGCAGGGACCACCGCATCGACCACCAGCTCGCCTTCCTCGCCTCCTCCTCTGTCTCTGCCCGTGGGCTCGTTCGGGCATTCGCCAAGGCAGCTGCTGTGGTGAGAAATCAAATGGGTACTGTGATGGGTGCAGGAGATCTTATCGTATCAGGTCATCTCCTCCGCTGCCTCTGGGTGACTTTTGAGTCGACTCAAAAGTCATCAAATGGGTACTGTGATGGGTGCAGGAGATCTTATCAGGTCATCTTTTCCGCTGCCTCTGCCTGCCCCCAGCTTGTTCAGGCGTGTGTCAAGGCTGCTGCTGCTGTGGTAACGTTTTGGTGCAATGTTCTTGTGATGTGGTGAACATGAGGTATTCGGCTGCTCCTGCTTCTTCCTCCTCCTCTGTTGTGCATTCATGACTGCTCTCCCCCCACCACCAGCTGTATGAAGAAGTGTTTTGACACGTCTCAAAACACTTCTTCATACACGTGGCTCTTCTTCCTCCTCCTCTGTTGTGCGTGGATGAATACTCTCCTCCCCCCACCACCAGCTTCCCATGGACCCTGCAGGCTACCAGGCGTCTATCATCCAAGGCCTTCTCTTCTGCTCCTCCTACTGTCTATTACCCCTTCTCTTTCCATTCCTCACTTTCTTTCTGCCTGTCCTTCCTTATGTCCACCCTTCCCTGCCCATTCTTCTGCCCTACTCACACACACACCAGCTCTCCCTTGACCCCACAGGCAAGCAGGCATCAATCATCCAAGGCCTTCTCTTCTACGCTTCCAAACTCCTCGCCCCTCCCTCCGTACACCTCTCCTGCATCTCTCCACCGCACTCCACTCCTCTACCCAGCCCCTCTCCTCCCTCACCCAGCCTAGCCGCTAAGTCTGGAGGGTTTGGGAAGGGTGGGGCTGGAGCAGGGTTAGGGGTTGGGGCACAAATGGGGATCAAGAAGTTTTTTACCAAGCCAAGTGTGACAGCTGCTGCTGGTGCTGGTGCTGGTGGTGCTGGTGGTGCTGCTGCCGCGCCTGGTGCTTTTGGTGGTGCCGATGGCACTGCTGCTGCTAGTGTAAAAGTGGAGCAGCAGCAACATGAGGAGGGGAGGGCTAAGGAGAAGGCAAGAGAGTGGGAGCGGGAGGAGAGGGTGAGGGAGGAGGTGTGGAGAGCGGTGGGGTGGGATGTATCCCGTGTGCTCTGGCCCATGGTGGCGTTTCTGGTGTGGCGCTGCAGGGCGTGTGCTGATACCATCACCACTGGCAGTCAGGTAACCACCTACTAGTAGAGATGTGTATACGTATTGAGGAGAGGGTGAGGGAGGAGGTGTGGAGAGTGGTGGGGTGGGATGTGTCTCGTATGCTCTGGCCCATGGTGGTGTGGCGCTGCAGGGCGTGTACTGATACCATCACCACTGGCAGTCAGGTAACCTTTCAAGAACTGCTCTCAGGAGAAAATGTATTTTGCTGAAACGGGTGTTGTGGTATGTGTGGACAAGATATCATTATATGTTGATACCATCGCCCATGCCTCTCTCTCTTTTCTCCTGCCTCCTTCCCTTTCCCTTCCCTCCCCTGCCTTCCCTTCCCTGCCTTTCCCTTCACCAGAAGCTCGTATTTGTCCGTCTGTTCGAAATCCTTCCCCTGGCCGTGAACCATCTACTCCCTTCCTCCTCTTCCATCACAAGCAATAGCAGCAGCACTCCCAAAGCTGCTGCCACTGCGGCTGCGACAAACACCACTCTCCCCCCACATCCAACTGCCCCTGGGCTTTTCAGAGTTTCCAGTATGGGCTGCGACGGTAAACTCTCTCTCTTCCCCCTCCCTGCTTCTTCCCCGGAGAATCTGAACCTGCTGCTGGAACGGAGCATCGGCCAAACCTGGGGTGGAGGCTCGGCAGGGGTACGGACCGCATGGTTTGGTGATGGAGGAATGGGTGGTGGTGGGGCTGGAGGGAGAGAGGAGGAAGCTGATTGGGTGGCTGACGTGGCAGCTTGTGTGACTGTAAAGGATGGGTCTATACTGCATCGATGGGTGGATGCTTCAGCAACAGTGCTGAAAGCGTTACAGGTTACATGGAGCCTTATCAGTGGTAACCACATCAGAGAATGTAACAAAAGTGGTGATGGTATGAGCAGCAACAGCAGGACTGGTGGTCGCAGGGGAGGTGGGATTTGGGGGAGGTGGAAATGGGCTGTGTTGCTGAGGGATTTCTGTAGCTGCCTGATTGCTGGGATTAAGCTAAGTGTTGGTGTGAGCTTGTCTCAAGAACAGAAGGAGAGGCTTTTGGCAGCAGCACAGCATGCAGTGTCGCTTGTCTCAGCTTCGGATGCCGAACCTCCGCCAAAGCAGCCGCTCCCGAACCTGAGGGTTCCGTCTGTGGACGGGGGGATGGTGGATGGGGAGGAGGGAGAGGAGGAGGGTGGGAGAGAGGGGATTGAAGATTTGATTTACCTGTTCAGTGAGGATGAAGAGGAGATGGGTAAGGAGCAGGGGGAAAGGAGGGGTGAGGATGAGGAGAGCAGGGGGAGGAAAGGGGAGGAGAGAGTGGGTTGGGGTGGGGGTTGGAGTGTTGGAAGAGTGGAAAAGGGGACTGCCAGTAAGGGGAAGGGAGGAATAGTTGAGACTATAGATCTAGACGAAATTGAGGAGGTCGGTTCTGGGATGGGTGCTGGTGGGATGGATGCTACTGGGGTGAAAGCAGTGAAGCAGGAATTAAAGGGAGAGGAGGAGAAAGAGAGAGCGGGTGATGCGAGTATGGAGGAGCTAGCAGAGGAAGCGATGGAGGAGGACGAGGAGGAGGACGAAGAGGAGGAGGAAGAAGGGGAGGAGGAGGAAGAGGAGGAGGAGATGGGGGAGGAGGATGAGGAGGAGGATGAGGTGCCGATAGGGCAGCTGAAGCGAGGCAGTGAAGGTGGGGCCGCAGAGGCTGAGACTCCATCTGGGGAAGGTGCATTTGCAAAGTCAGCCCCTTCCTTTCCCTTCTCCGCAGGCGCTGCATCCTCCTCCTCTCATGCTGCTTCTCCCTTTTCCTCTCTCCTTTCCTCGCAAGCAGCAAAGCAGCGGCGTCGAAACACTCTCGAAAAATACCTGCGCACGCAGGTTGCATCAGCCACTGGTGCTGGCGCTGCAGCTGGTGCTACAGCCGCTGCCGGCACTGCTGCTGCTGGCACTGCTGCTGCTGGCACTGCTGCTGCTGGCACTGCTGCTGCTGGCACTGCGGGTGCTGGCATGGGAAAATCGAGTGCAGGGTCAAGGCTTGGAGCAGGGGGGGTCATTTTCAAGAAGCCGCGGAGCCTTCTAAGCAGAAAGCCAGGTGTAATGAAAGGGGCAGGCAGAGGGGGCAAGCTGTCAGCGATTCGGGAGTTGCACAAAGCAGAGGTGGAGCAGAGGAACAGTGCACTGGGGGACGTACAGCGGCAAATCAGAGAGCGACAGCTGGCGGAGAGGCTGAAGCAGCAGCAGGGGCAGCAGCAGCAGGGCGGAGCAGGGGGGGCTGGTGCAGCCGTGGATCCGTTTGCATTCACTGTGGAACCATCCTCTGGTTCAAGTTTATCTGGTGCAGGTTTACCTGGTGCAGGCTTATCTGGTGCAGGCTTATCTGGCAAAGCGCCTGTCCCACCAGCTGCGGTGCGCTCAGCAGCAGCAGCAGCAGCAGCAACAGCAACAGCAGGGGCAGCGAAAGAAAAAACGGCAGTGCTTCTAGAGGTATTCGCAGATGATGATTTAGATGCAGAGTTGGAGAGAGAAGCAGCAAAGGCAAGGAGGCCAGGAGGAAAGCTCTCCATAGGCGGCCTGGAGGGCATGAACCGCGTTGCAGACCAGATAAAGCGCCACCAAACCATCGCGCTAGGCTCGGACCGGACCGGCCCGGCAGGCTTGGCGGGTAGGCTCGGCATCCAGGACTGGATGGCTTGGAAAAAGCCGCCTCTGCCGAAGCTAGACGATTGGTTTCGGAAGATCCTGGCCATGGATTACTACGAGGTGGTGTCGGGTTCCGAGCCTGCAGGTTCGGCGAGCTGGGGGCTGGTTTGGGTGCCAGACGAGTTTGGTTCGGTGGCGGAGTACGTTCGGGTGTTCCAGCCACTAGTGCTGGAGGAATTCAAGGCGCAGCTTCGGCGATCGTACGAAGATGCTGTAGGTTCGGGTGGGGGCGGAGGAGCGGGAGGAATGGGAGGAGCGGGAGGAGCAGGAGGAGGGGGAGGAGCGGGAGGGGGAGCAGGGGAGAGGAGGGGAGGGGCAGAGGTTGCTTATGTGGGAGCTCTAAGAATGCTGTCAATAGAGCGGGTGGATGATTTCCAGCTTGCGAGATTCATGGCTGAGCCGGGCGCTTCGTCAGGATCCCGGGCATTCTGTGGGGAGAATGATCTCGTGCTGCTCACCCGTAAAGTGCCCGACCATGCTGCTGCTGCGGCAGCTGCTGCTGGGAGCGATGCTGCTGTGGCAGCACAGCAGCTTCATGTGCTGGCCAAGGTGAGACGCGAATCATTGCATGTGAGAATGCTGTCGATAGAGCAGGTGGATGAATTCCAGCTAGCGAGGTTCATGGCCGAGCCAGGAGCTTCGTCGGGGTCTCGGGCGTTCTGTGGGGAGAATGATCTCGTGCTGCTTACTCGTAAAGTGCCCGACCATGCTGCTGCTGCCGCGGCAGCTGTGGCTGCTGGTGATCCTGCTGCGGCAGCACAGCAGCTTCATGTGCTGGCCAAGGTGAGAATCATCACATCCGAGGCTTATGTGATTGGGGCCGGTCTGTGGGGAGAATGATTTCGTGCTGCTCACCCGGAAATTGCCCGACCATGCTGCTGCAGCTGGGCAGCTGCGGCTGTGGCTGCTACTGCTGCTGATGATGCTGCCGCTGCAGCACAGCAGATGCTTCATGTGCTGGCCAAGGTGAGATCAATGTGAATGGTGCCACTCTGTGGGGAGAATGATCTCGTGCTGCTCATTTTCTCCCCTTCTCCCCATCCTCTGCTTTCTCTCTCACATGTCTTCCTCTCTTCCTCTATTCTCAGGTGGAGAGGAGAGAATACGAGAGGGAGTCTCGAGCGATGGTCATCCAACTACGCCTCTTCCTGCCCCCCACCACCTCGCCGCGCCTGGCGCGCTGCAAGCAGCTGATGGGGGACCGCAGCTGCTGGCACATCACGCGCATCCTCTCCCTCGTGCCGCACATGCGCGAGTTCCAGGCCCTCGCTGCTGCCCAGTACCTGCCTCTGCTCCCGCCTCTGCTTAAGCCCAGCTGCTTCACTGCTGCCACTGCTGGTGCTGCTGCTAGTGCTGGTGCTGCTGCTGGTGCTGGTGCTGCTGCTAGTGCTGCTGCTGGTGCTGCTGCCAGCGCTGCTGGTGGTGCTTCCGCTGCTGCTGCTGGTGGCACTGAATCCCAGGCTGCGACTGCATCCCTGGAAGGAACGCCCTTGCCGCTCTCTCTCAGGCACAAGTACGAGGCGCAGTTCAACCGGCATCAGCTGCAAGCAATACGACAGGCCGTTGGAGGGAACAAGGATGGAATCGGATCAACTTGCAGCGATTCGGCCTTCAGCAGTGCTGCTGCTGGTCGTTCCGCTGCCGCTGCTGCTGCTGCTGCTTCTGCTGGTTCTGGTGCCGATGGTGGTGGTGGTGGTGGGAGTTCAGAGGCGAATCGGCAGCTGGTTTTAGTGCAGGGGCCGCCAGGCACAGGCAAGACCCGCACCATCGTTGCCATCATCACAGCCTTACTAGCTTGCAAGAAAAGAGTAAACTCTGGGAATCAGGAGCACTTGGGAGCAGGAGACGACAAGGGTGTGGGTTGGGATCTGAAGGAGCCGAGGGTTAGATGGGCTGGGAAGGGGCCGGGGTTGAGGGGTGGAGGAGGAGTGGGAGGGAGGTTGGGTGGGGAGGGGAAAAAGGTGAGCACTGCAACTGCTATGGCGCGTATGTGGCAAGATGCTGCTGTTGCCATGGATTTGGCGAGAGGGGGGATGAGAGGAGGAGTGAGGGGAGGAGTGAGAGGAGGAGGAGGGGTGAGTCGAGGAGGGGGAGGGGGAGGAAGTGGTGGAGGGGGAGGAGGAGGGGGAGGGAGAGGGGGGAAGACGCAGCGGGCGAGGGTGCTGGTGTGTGCGCAATCCAACGCTGCAGTGGACGAAATCATATCTCGGATCTTCCGAGCCCATGCAGAAACAGACAAGGATGGGGAGGACGAGACGACGCGATCTCAGCCGTCAGTTGTGCGTGTCGGGAACGTGTCAGCCGTCCATCCCGACTCTCTGCATATTCACATTGACACACTAGTGGCTAAGAGGCTAGTGAAAGAAGCAGCAGCGAGAGGTGTGAATGTAGGCAGTGGTGATAGTAACGAAGGGGGGAGAGAGGGTGGTGGAGTTCTGAGTGAGAAGGATTGGAGGGACGTGTTTGGTGATGGGGCGTTTGGTGGTGGCGCTCGTGGTGGTGTTGGCACTCGTACAAGCACAGGCAACGCTGCTGCTGGTGCGAGTGGTGGTTTAGGAACTGAGAGTGCTGTAAGGGAGAGAGTGGCGCAGTTAAGGCAGCAACTGGAGCGTGCCTTTGAGGTGATCAGAGCAGTAGAGGCACTTAGATGCAAGAAACGCGCAGGAGAGGATGGGGAGGGTGGGGATGAGGGAGGAGCGGAGGAGGCGGATGGAGGGAAGGGTGGTGGTGCGAGGGAGAGGAGAAGGGAGGGTGGAAGGGGAGGAGGAGAGGAGGAGAAAACGGCTGAGGAGATAGCAGAGGAGATAATATCGCATGGGGAGGATACTATAAAAGCGAGGCTTAATCTGCTCTATCGGAAGAAGAGGGAAATTTCGGCTGACCTGGCAGCAGCGGAGAAGGAGCGGCGGGCAGCTGCGGAAGAGGATAAAGCGCGCCGGGCAGCGGTGAAAAAAGAGATTATAAGAGAGGCAGAAGTTGTGGTGACTACATTGAATGCGTGTGGAGGGGACGTGTTTACTGCCTGTTGGGAAGGGGCAGGGGAGAAGGGAGGGAGAGGGGGAGGAGGAGCAGAGGGGATGGGTGGTGCTGGTGGTGGTGGGAGGTTTGGAGGGAGCGGAGGGATGGGAGGGGGGGTTCTGGGAGCGAGAGGGAGGGGATGGGGAGGAGGTATGGGGGGAGGAGTGAGAGGAGGAGCTTCAGGTGGTTTTTCAGGTGGAGGGTCAGGTGGGGTGCTGCCATCGTGGATGGAGGGGTTGTTTGATGCAGTGGTGATCGATGAGGCTGCTCAGGCATTGGAGCCAGCCACACTCATTCCCCTCCAGCTGCTCAGTCGAATCAGCAGCCGATGCATCATGGTGAGGTTTGACTTGGTTTCATTTTTGCCGAATTAGCAGCCATTCTTGTACCTCTCCTTCCACCCACCCCCCTTCACCGCTCTATACTCATTCCCTTTCACTCTCCACCCATTTCTACCCCTCTTCACCTCTCTCCACCAGGTGGGCGACCCCAAGCAGCTGCCAGCAACAGTCCTCTCTCGTACCGCATCCAACCTTCGCTACGAGCGCTCGCTCTTCGAGCGCCTACAGACGTCTGGTTACCCTGTTACCATGCTGTCCACACAGTACCGCATGAACCCCCACATCTCCCGCTTCCCCTCCTCCTTCTTCTACCAGTCCCTTCTCTCTGACGCCCCCTGTGTCACCGCCCCCTCCTGGTCCTCCCCCTTCCAAGCCTTACCATCCAATTACCCCTCACTGTCCTCGTTACCGGCAGCAGCAACGGTGAGTGTCTTCCCATACGGCTGCTGTTGTGGTTATGCTGCTCCCATACGATGTGAGTGTTTGACGTGGAGGATGGGATGGAGAGGACGAGAGGGCTGGCAGGAGCACCTTCTCTCTGCAACGAGGCGGAAGCGACGGCTGCCCTGGAGCTGTACCGACTGCTGCAGCAACGGTATGTGTGTGTCCAGGTTGCTGTTGTTGTCGCACTGCTCCCATATGCTGTATTTGATGTGGAGGATGGGGTGGAGAGGACGAGGGGGCCGGCAGGTGCCCCTTCTCTCTGCAACGAGGCTGAAGCGACAGCAGCCCTTGCAGCCCTATCGCCTGCTGCAGTAACGGTAAGCACGTGTTCAGGTTGTTGTTGTTGTCGCACTGCTGCCGTGCCGTGGTGAGCACGTGGAGGATGGCGTGGAGAGGACGAGGGGGGCGGCAGCAGCCCTTGAGCCCTATCGCCTGCTGCAGCAACGGTAAGCACATGTTCAGACCAGAGATTGCTGGTGTGGATTTGGTTCTCCCATACGCAGTGCTTGATGCGTGGAGGATGGGATGAGGCATCCAAGTGGAAGTGAACACAGGGACGGCTTTCAGGGCAGGGAGGTGGATACTCTCCTCTTCTCCACCGTCCGTGCCTCTCCTTCCCCCTTCACCTCTCCCCTTCCCTCCCTCCTTTCTCCCCTCCCCTTCCCTCCATGTCGCCTTCCCTCCATTCCAGGTTTCCAGAGGAGTGCGCACCAGGCAGGGTGGGCGTGATCACACCGTACAAGCAGCAGCTCTTCCTTCTAAGGGACACGTTTACCCGAGCACTGGGGCGTGGGGCTGCAGCAGACGTGGAATTCAATACAGTCGACGGGTTCCAGGGCAGGGAGGTCGATATCCTCCTCTTCTCCACCGTCCGCGCCTCTCCTTCTGCCCTCTCCGCCTCTTTCCATTCCTCCTCTTTCCATCCCCCCTTTTCCTCCCATCCTTCCTCCTCCCACCGCTCCACCCACCATTCATCGTCCCACCATTCCTCCACCCACCCGTCCTCTTCTCTGCTTGGAAAACCGGCCGGCAATGATCGGCCGTCGAGGGAAGAGAGGAGAACCGTCGGATTCGTGGCAGATGAACGGCGGATGAATGTGGCGTTGACTCGGGCGAGAAAGGCGCTGTGGATAGTGGGAAATGCGGCCACTTTGGCTCAAAGCAAGCCCTGGTGTGCTCTGCTGTGTGATGCTAGGGACAGAGGGGTGGTTTTTAGGGTGAGAAGGCCTTATAGGGAAGGGTTGGTGAGGGGAGAGAGGGCTGATTCGAGGTTTCTGCCTGAGCGGGAGAGAGGTGGTGGAGAGGAGGGAGTGAGGGGACGTGGAGAGGAAGGGGAGAGGAGACAAGGAGGGGAGGGGAAAAGTGGGGGAGATGAAAGGGAAGAGAGGAGTGGGAGAGGTGAAAGGGAGGAGAGAGTGAGGCTGGAGAGAGTTAGAGAGGAGAGAGTGAGGGGGGAGAAAGCAAGAGAGGAGAGAGTGAGTGAGGAGAAAGCAAGAGAGGAGAGAGTGAAGGAGGAGAAAGCAAGAGAAGAGAGAGTGAGGGAGGAGAAAGCAAGAGAGGAGAGAAGGAAGGAGGAGAGAGGGAGGGAGGAGAAAGTGAGGGATGAAAGAGCAAGAGAGGAGAGGCCGAAGGAGGCAAGGGCGCCAATGCAAGCACCAGGGGATGCAGCAGCAACAGGGGCAGAAGCAACAGAGGTGAAAGTAGCAGCAGAGGCGAAAGCAGCAGCAGAGGCGAAAGCAGCAGCAGAGGCGAAAACAGCAGCACAGGCGAAAGCAGCAGCAGAGGCGAAAGCAGCAGCAGAGGCGAAAGCAGCAGCAGAGACGAAAGCAGCAGCCGAGGCGAAAGCTAGGGTAGAGGCACAAGCGAGTTTGCCAGTACAAACAGCAGAAAAGGCACACATGCATGAGGCAGCAGGCTCGAAGCAAAAGGATGAAAACAGAGAGGAGGCGTCAGAGCCTTGTGAGAAAAAGGTGCCTGAAGCAGTATCAGGGCTGAGGGCGAGGGAGGATGGAGCAGTACTAAGGAAAGGAGAAGAAGAGATGAGAGAGCCTGAGGGGAGGGAGCATGGAGCGAGGCCAACTGAGGGGATTCAGAATGTGGAGGAACTGGGGAAAAGGGAGAGGGAGATAGGGGATGGGGATGGGGCAGTGATAAGGGAAGCAGCGGGAGGTGGGGAAAGAAATAGGATGAGGGACAGGGAAAGAGAATTAGACAAGGAGAGGGGAAGGAGTATGGACAGGGGAAGGAGCCGGGACAGGGACCAGGAAAGAGAGAAGGACAGAGACAGGGACAGGGGCAGGGATAAGGACAGTGATAGAGATAGAGACAGGGATAGAGGTAGAGATAGAGATAGAGACAGGGATAGAGGTAGAGATAGAGATAGGGACAGGGCAAGAGACAGGGAAATGCAGAGGGAAAGGGACAGAGAAAGGGAAAGAGTTCAAGCTAGGGAAGGGAGCAGGGAGAGGGAGCCTGGCAGGGTACCAGAGCAAAGGGAGCAAAGAGTGAGACCAGTGTTTGACATTCCAGAGGTGGTAAAGGATCTGAGGACGAATGTGTGGATTGAGAACGGTGAGAAGGGGTTCTTTATGTGGTGTGTGAAGAGGGAAGGTGATAGGAGACACGGATTGAGTGGGGTGAAGAGGGAGGCTGAGAGACGGAGGAGGGAGATGAGGATGAGAGAGGGGAGAGGAGGGGAGAGGGGGAGGGAAGGAGATAGGGAGAGGACGAGAGAGAAAGACAGAGAAAGGGAAAGGGGACGGGAGAGAATGCGGGAAAGAAGTAGGTCGGGATCAAGAGATAGGGAGAGGGAGAGTGCAAGGGAAGGAGAAAAAAACAGCTCTCGTGATGTTCCTCTGAGACACACCGGCACACAGCAGCAGCAGAATGTTTCTTCCTCTAACCAGCAGAAGCAGCAGCAGCACCAGCAGCAGTACCAGCAGCAGCAGCATCATCAACAGCAGCACCAGCAAAAACATCAAGGTTCTTCGCCCCGTGATGCTCCTTCCAAGTGGGCTAATCTGGTGCAGAAAAGCAAAGCGACTGTTGCTTCTGCTGGTGCGGCTGGTGCTGGTAGTGCTGCCGCACCATCAGGCACACGAATACCAGCACCAGCACCACCACCACTGTCAGCAACTGAGAGTCGCAAGCGGCAGAGGGAAGCAGCAGCAGCAGAGATGCCAGCTGGCGGCCTGCTACAGTCCAAAAGAGCCCACCGGACCAGCTCTTCTGGAAATCTGGGGCTTGACTGGGAGGCCGTGGTTCGGGGTAAGAGAGGGGCAGGGGGGAGAGGAGGGGGAGGAGGAGGGGAGAGAGGGGAAAGGGGAGGGGGAGGGGGTGTGGGAGGAGTAGGTGGAATGGAGAGGGAGAGTGGTTTGGACTGGGGAGGTGGGGCTGGGTTGGACGGGGGTAAGAGTGCAGGCACTAAGCAAGTTCTCACCGAACCTGTGCCGTTGGTCCGGGCCACACGTCCCCCGAGTGTCAGTGCGAGGCCCGGGATGGCAGGAGCAGGAGGCTTGGGAGGAAGAGCAGGGGCCAGCAGCAGCAGAGAACAGTATCATCGCTCTTCCCTGCAGTACCACCAGCAGCAGCAGCAGCAGCAGCAGTCGCGAGCAGCAAGGGCTGGATCATCCTTTGTGGATGAAATCTTATCTGGAGTAGCTGATGTGAGCCGGGCGCAGGTGATTGGCCAGAGTATCCCTGACAATGATGATGATGCTGACTTGGCACGAGGAATAGCACTCAAGGGACCGTGAATAATCCAACGCGTTGGGAATAATGTGGCGAAATTAGGCACCTAAACAAGAAACTACATCCAAGGGACACTGGCTTATCTCATGGATGGACTGTCCTTGAGTGGTGTGGGTGGGTGGAGTGGTCTGCTTGTCTATGCCAAGTCCTGGTAGAAAGGAACTACAGTACACCCTTCTGGCTTATGGCGTAGAGTAGTTCGAAGCACTGATCTTTTAAGGGCATATTGTGGTGGCATGTATATGTGTACGGCATGCTTTCATTTCTTTCATTCTTTGTCATTGATTCAGAAGAATAGTAGGTTGCTGTGAACCATGCGGTACCATATTGTACATCGCGCCCTATACTTTCAAGCTCTCACAACAATATTAGTTACATCACACACTTACAGGCATTTGGATGCTATAGCAATACAGCTTACTGCAGTGTTACATCCTAATTGTTCCACGTATTGGCTGTGCTGGGATGGGATGGGCCGGGCTAGGGATAGGTAAGAACGGATTGGTTGGGATGGGGATGATAAAGGTGGTTGGAATGGTTTGGGAGCGGTTGGGATCGATCAGGAGGGGTTGGGTTGGGTGGTGTGGAGTGGGTACATGCGCTGCTCTTTCTCAGGCCTAGTACTTCTAGTTCTCACTAGGGACTTCTCCTCTCCTGCGCTTGCACATGTACATATGTGCAATTGGTGGTCGACGTTTTTCCTCCCAGATTTGCAGAAGCACGTTACACATGTGTCTCGATGAATTCCCGGTACACTCTCTTCATCTTCACACCCTTGATCTCACTGGAGGAGGGGAGGGACGGGCAGTCAAGCAGGGAAGAGGAAGGGCTGATATTGTTGTGGTAGCAAGCAAGAAAGGATGAGTGATCCAAGTCTATGAGTGATCCAAGTCTATGAGTGCTTTACTCGAGACGATAAGGCTATGTACAGGCAGAGAAGCACTCACTCAAACTTCTCCTTTTTCTTGAACAAATGCACCACGGGCGTGTCCATGATCCCTGCTGCGACTGTGAGGCGCCTACAGCAGACCAGACTACACAGGGGACTGGGACATACAAGCACTCATTTAATCACTCACTCGATCTTCTCCTTGTTCTTGAAGAAATGCACCACGGGCGTGTCCATGATCCCTGCTGCGACTGTGAGGCGCCTACAGCAGACCAGACTACTCAGGGGACTGGGACATACAAGCACTCATTTAATCACTCACTCGATCTTCTCCTTGTTCTTGAAGAAATGCACCACGGGCGTGTCCATGATCCCTGCTGCGACTGTGAGGCGCCTACAGCAGACCAGACTACTCAGGGGACTGGGACATACAAGCACTCATTTAATCACTCACTCGATCTTCTCCTTGTTCTTGAAGAAATGCACCACGGGCGTGTCCATGATCCCTGCTGCGACTGTGAGGCGCCTACAGCAGATCAGACTACTCAGGGGACTGGGACATACAAGCACTCATTTAATCACTCACTCGATCTTCTCCTTGTTCTTGAAGAAATGCACCACGGGCGTGTCCATGATCCCTGCTGCGACTGTGAGGCGCCTACAGCAGATCAGACTACTCAGGGGACTGGGACATACAAGCACTCATTTAATCACTCACTCGATCTTCTCCTTGTTCTTGAAGAAATGCACCACGGGCGTGTCCATGATCCCTGCTGCGACTGTGAGGCGCCTACAGCAGATCAGACTACTCAGGGGACTGGGACATACAAGCACTCATTTAATCACTCACTCGATCTTCTCCTTGTTCTTGAAGAAATGCACCACGGGCGTGTCCATGATCCCTGCTGCGACTGTGAGGCGCCTACAGCAGACCAGACTACTCAGGGGACTGGGACATACAAGCACTCATTTAATCACTCACTCGATCTTCTCCTTGTTCTTGAAGAAATGCACCACGGGCGTGTCCATGATCCCTGCTGCGACTGTGAGGCGCCTACAGCAGATCAGACTACACAGGGGACTGGGACATACAAGCACTCATTTAATCACTCACTCGATCTTCTCCTTGTTCTTGAAGAAATGCACCACGGGCGTGTCCATGATCCCTGCTGCGACTGTGAGGCGCCTACAGCAGACCAGACTACTCAGGGGACTGGGACATACAAGCACTCATTTAATCACTCACTCGATCTTCTCCTTGTTCTTGAAGAAATGCACCACGGGCGTGTCCATGATCCCTGCTGCGACTGTGAGGCGCCTACAGCAGACCAGACTACTCAGGGGACTGGGACATACAAGCACTCATTTAATCACTCACTCGATCTTCTCCTTGTTCTTGAAGAAATGCACCACGGGCGTGTCCATGATCCCTGCTGCGACTGTGAGGCGCCTACAGCAGACCAGACTACTCAGGGGACTGGGACATACAAGCACTCATTTAATCACTCACTCGATCTTCTCCTTGTTCTTGAAGAAATGCACCACGGGCGTGTCCATGATCCCTGCTGCGACTGTGAGGCGCCTACAGCAGACCAGACTACTCAGGGGACTGGGACATACAAGCACTCATTTAATCACTCACTCGATCTTCTCCTTGTTCTTGAAGAAATGCACCACGGGCGTGTCCATGATCCCTGCTGCGACTGTGAGGCGCCTACAGCAGATCAGACTACTCAGGGGACTGGGACATACAAGCACTCATTTAATCACTCACTCGATCTTCTCCTTGTTCTTGAAGAAATGCACCACGGGCGTGTCCATGATCCCTGCTGCGACTGTGAGGCGCCTACAGCAGATCAGACTACTCAGGGGACTAGGACATACAAGCACTCATTTAATCACTCACTCGATCTTCTCCTTGTTCTTGAAGAAATGCACCACGGGCGTGCCCATGATCCCTGCTGCGACTGTGAGGCGCCTACAGCAGACCAGACTACTCAGGGGACTGGGACATACAAGCACTCATTTAATCACTCACTCGATCTTCTCCTTGTTCTTGAAGAAATGCACCACGGGCGTGTCCATGATCCCTGCTGCGACTGTGAGGCGCCTACAGCAGACCAGACTACTCAGGGGACTGGGACATACAAGCACTCATTTAATCACTCACTCGATCTTCTCCTTGTTCTTGAAGAAATGCACCACGGGCGTGTCCATGATCCCTGCTGCGACTGTGAGGCGCCTACAGCAGACCAGACTACTCAGGGGACTGGGACATACAAGCACTCATTTAATCACTCACTCGATCTTCTCCTTGTTCTTGAAGAAATGCACCACGGGCGTGTCCATGATCCCTGCTGCGACTGTGAGGCGCCTACAGCAGACCAGACTACTCAGGGGACTGGGACATACAAGCACTCATTTAATCACTCACTCGATCTTCTCCTTGTTCTTGAAGAAATGCACCACGGGCGTGTCCATGATCCCTGCTGCGACTGTGAGGCGCCTACAGCAGATCAGACTACTCAGGGGACTGGGACATACAAGCACTCATTTAATCACTCACTCGATCTTCTCCTTGTTCTTGAAGAAATGCACCACGGGCGTGTCCATGATCCCTGCTGCGACTGTGAGGCGCCTACAGCAGACCAGACTACTCAGGGGACTGGGACATACAAGCACTCATTTAATCACTCACTCGATCTTCTCCTTGTTCTTGAAGAAATGCACCACGGGCGTGTCCATGATCCCTGCTGCGACTGTGAGGCGCCTACAGCAGACCAGACTACTCAGGGGACTGGGACATACAAGCACTCATTTAATCACTCACTCGATCTTCTCCTTGTTCTTGAAGAAATGCACCACGGGC